GTTTCTTTATTCAGATTTCTCAGAAAATTCACTAGTCCTGTGCACATTTCCATGGCAGACCAGTTCATATGTACTGTCTTGCTTAAGGACTAGCCACCTTGTGATACAGACTTTGTATTTAGGAATCTGCTAGGGTGACACAAGGCCTCACCTTCTACAAGGCTGTGTGGGCCAGATGATTTCACTGTGGGCATGGGACAGGGGCTTGTACCGTGAAGAGATATACATTATGTCTAGCCATTGAAAGGATGCCCCTTCCAAAAGCCTTCCCAAGCTTTTCCCTCCTGAAATCCACTACCCATCGCATTAGACCCTTGAGCCTGTCATGGGATGCTGAGTGCACTTGTCCAGTTCCTACTGCAACAGAGATCCAGATGTACAATGGCTTAACCAAGTAAAAGGATTGTTTCATGCTCACATATAAATGGGGACTAAATAGTCCAGATCAGATCTGATGACTTTACAGCGTTGGGGGTCTAAGCTCTTTCTGACTTGCTATTCTATGATCCGTAGGGCATTGGCCTCATCTTTATGGATCAAGATGAATCACTACCACAGTCCTGCCAGCAGGAAGGGGGGAATGCATTTCCCTTCCCTGTAAATGCAGGAGCCGGAGTGTGCGCACATCACTTCGCTCACCTCATTAGCTGGAACCTAGTTCTCTGACTACATCAAGCTGCAGGGGAGGCTGGGAGATAGAGTATTCTGGGTGATGGTATGTCCAGCTACAAGTTGAGGATTTATTACTAAGGAAGAAGGGAAGAGTAGATATTGGACAATGGCACCACCATTTTCCTGTCGTTCATTTTTGACCCCTGTCCACCATCCAGTTGGTCATGACATCCTGGCACATCCCCACTCCTGATGCCTTTCCCATAGGGCCTGATTTTTCCCACTGATGCCATCATGGACTGGGCCTTCACAGCTTCATACCCAGTGTCTACCGAGAACCATCTAACTGATCTTCTAGCCTCCAGTCTCTCTCCAGCCCCACCCCGGGATCATTCTTGAGTGCAAATCTGATCACTCTGCTCCCCACTGCCTGTAGCAGAGAGATTTTAACTGCCGATTTCCGAATCCCTGAACTGACATGCACATTTTGCACATGTGTGCATTTTTCTGAAGAGAGCTTCAGGTTCTCAAAGTTCTGGGATTCCCCCTCAAGCTACAGGCTCAAGTTGAAATATCTAATCTCAAACATACAAGTGAGATGTGTCTATAGACCTTTTCAAATCTCCTCCTGTCTGGGCACCTCCACAATGTGACCCAAACTGAAGTGATTCTAGAATTCGCTCCACTGCGCGGACAGCCCATGCTCTTTCTGTGCCACATCTTTATGGCCGCTGTTCTGTCCAGTGTGCCCAGGCAAACTCCTACACCCCTGTATGGCTTAGCAGAAAAACCCCATCCTCCGCAAGGCTTCCCTGACTCGCTCTGCAGCGGTGGTCTCCACAACATGATTCAGACGCCCATTACTCATCCTACGGCACAGCCTGTGTCCATCTCCACCACCAAACCACTAACTCTGGAGCCTAGCACCTACAATAGGTAGGCCACAGATGTTTGCTGAGCAATTGTCACCCGTGCCCCCAAAACTGAAGTGCTGTTTCTAGAATGTGGATCTGAGTGGCATGTCCCGCTTCCCTAGTTCCTTCAAGTTCAAATTTGTTACGGTGGCTTTTTCTCTGGCCTCCTCTTGCTATTCTTTGTTGTTTTTTTTTTCTACTCCAGGAACACTGAAGTTCTTTTAATGCTCCAAATCCGTGTTCTCTCTTGCCTTGAGGCTTTCTGCATGCTTCTTCTTCAGCTCCTCTTGGCATGGCTATACCTCCCCATCCTTCAGATAGCTTCACTACTCCGGGAAGCCTTCTTGGACCCCCTCCCCACCCTCAGACTAGGCTGAGGGGCCCATCCACCTGTCCTCATAGCACCTCATACTTTCCCAGTTTCAACACGCATCATCTTGCACCAGAATGATGGGTTTGTCTTTCTTGCCTGCAAAACTGAGTTCTGTGTCTAACTTGCCCACCAGTATGTCCCCAGCCCCAAACACAGTACTTGGATGACAGCAGATCCCTGAGAAATCTGTGTTTGATGAGGGTTGACAATTTCTTGGTTGTTAGTCTGTTTTTCAACAGCTTGCCATTGCCTTTGGAACAAAGACTCTTTAGGCTCTTTATCATCTGTCCTCGTGTATAGTCAGTCTCATCTCTTCTGAATCCACTCTTTGATCCCAGCATCTAGCTCAGACTCTACACGGAAGTCCTACTGAACTGAGTGAAGGTCCCCAAATGCCTGCTGTCCTCCATCGTTCAGCCTCGGCAATCCTGCTTTCTACCTGGCACGCTCTTGCCTCTCTCCTCACCTCTCCCTTCTCTTGCTTTTTTGGCAAACATCCACTAATCTTTAAATTTTCAGTTCAGATACCTCTTCCTTGAGGAAGCCTTCCTTGGATTCCCAAGACCAGCTCTGGTACCCCTTATTGGTACCCCTGTAGCATTCTGGGCTTCCTTCTCACCATTCCGTTTTCCTAAGTAGATGGCCAAGTGGAAGCCTGAACCACAATATCTCTAATGTGAGCCCAATGCCTGCACACAGTGGGCACTCTAGAAATATTTGTGGAAGGAGCGCCTGGGTGGCCCTGTCAGTTAAGCGTCCGACTCTCGATTTCAGGTTGTGATCTCAACATTTTGAGATCAAGCCTGGAGTCAGGCTCTGTGCTGTGCGTGGAGCCTGCTTAAGATACTCTCTCTCTCTGTCCCTCTGTCCTTCCCCCACTAAAAAAAAAAAAAAAAAAGAAAAATAGAAATATTTGTGGAATGAATTATATTGCCTGGTCTTATTCCTTACTATTGGCACAAGTGTCCTGTCTTCCAAAAACAGTCTGTACACCCCACGAAGGCAGTGAGGGAAGTTAAGATATCTGCGGGCCTCTTTCCAGCCCTAAGCTTAATATCTGTCCCCAGTAAGCCTGATTTATGTTGCTTGGTGGTTGTGCTGTCAGGCACTTGACAAATGTATTAATCAGTGGAGCCTTGGCTTAATGTTTTGGTAAGCCTGGGTTTGGGATCATGGTAACCTTAGACATGGTTTTTCTAGGGGTGACTAAAACCACTGCCAGTGTATCTATCTTTCTGAAACAATGTTTTTGTTTCCTTTGGGCAAATACCCAGTAGTGGAATTACTGGATCATATAGTATTTCTATTTTTAATTTTTTTCCAGAGTGGCTGCACTGATTTACATTCCTACCAACAGAGCCTGAGGGTTCCCTCTTCTCTTCATCCTTGTCAACACTTGTCTTTTTGATACTAGCCATGCTGGTTGGTGTGAGTTGGTATCTCATTGTGGCTTTGACTTGCATTTCCCTGACGATGAGTGATGTTAAGAAGGGATGGGCAGGGGCGCCTGGGTGGCTCAGTCATTAAGCGTCTGCCTTCGGCTGGGGTCGTGATCCCAGAGTCCTGGGATCGAGCCCCGCATCGGGCTCCCTGCTCGGCGGGAAGCTGCTTTGCTTCTCCCTCCCCCCCTCCCCCCCCTGCTTCTCCCTCTGACCCTATCCCCTCTCATGCTGTTTCTCTCTCTCTGTCAAAAAAAAAAAAAAAAAGAAGGGATGGGCAAGGGGCGCCTGGGTGGCCCAGTCGTTAAGCATCTGCCTTTGGCTCAGGTCATGATCCCAGGACATGATCCCTGGGAAGCCTGCTTCTCCCTCTCCTGCTCCCCCTGCTTGTGTTCCCTCTCTGTCAAATAAATAAATAAAACCTTAAAAAAAAGGGGGGGAGGGGCAAATCAGATGAAGGGAATTAAGAGGTATAAACTTATAGTGATAAAATAAATAAGTCAGGGAGATAGAAATTACAGCATAGGGAATATGGTCAGTAATATTGTAATGTCGTATGGTAACAAATGGTGACTACACTTACTATGGTGAACATCGAGTAATGTACAGAATTAATATACTGTATGCCTGAAACTAATATAACATTGTGTGTCAGTCATACTTGAGTAACAAAAAAATATTAAAGTTGAGAGGCCCCTGGGTGGCTCAGTCCGTTAAGCATCTGATTCTTGGTTTCGGCTCAGGTCATGATTTTGGGGTCCTGGGGTCGAGCCCTGTGTTGGGCTCTGCATTCAACATGGAGTCTACTGGTCCTTCTCCCTCTGTTCCCTCTCCCCACCACCCCTCTCTCAAATAAATAAATAAATAAAATCTTAAAAAAATTATAAAGTTGAAATGACTAAAATAAGTAAATACATAAATAAAAGCCAGCACAAGGAATAGTGTCAGGCACCTGGCTGGTGTCAGTAGATGTTTGTTGAATGAATACTGGAGAGACAGTAACAGGATGACAGGCTATGCTTGTTCAGTCTCACCATATTCTGGGCTCAGACATTCCAACGGAATGGAATAGTTATAAGGAGGGAGATCATATGTTCACATTCCAAAGTCAAGATGAAAAGAAACATACTAAAAATCTGAGAAAGGATGGACAAAGCCTTTTGATAGTGACTCAGTGGCCTCAAACCCTAGGCAAACCAGTTTGTCTTCTCTGGTAAATAAGCTGTTTTTGAGGGGCGCCTGGGTGGCTCAGTCATTAAGCGTCTGCCTTCGGCTCAGGTCATGATCCCAGGGTCCTGGGATGGAGCCCCGCATTGGGCTCCCTGCTCAGTGGGAAGCCTGCTTCTCCCTCTCCCTCTGACACTCCCCCTGCTTGTGTTCCCTCTCTCGCTGTGTCTTTCTCTGTCAAATAAATAAATAAAATCTTAAAAATAAATAAGCTGTTTTGATAGCTGGACTCAAGATCATTAAAAGATAATGTGACCCAAATGAAAGTGGCCATCCTAACATGAGATACAAAAATAGACTCTAAATTGGCAACATAGGACACAGACCCCCTACAGCTGTCTGCAGAACTTTGATACAAATAAGATCTACAATGCAAATTCCAAGAACGCACAAATAAGACCCACAATGCAAATTCCAACAACTTCGAGACAAAAGATTGAGAGGCAGCATTTTAATATAAACAGTCAGGCCAGGCCAGAGCCTTGCTATTCCAAGTGTGGTGTGGCCCAGGAGCATCAGCATCCCCTGAGAACTGGTTAGAATCTCAGGTCCCTTCCCCTCAGACCTACTACATTCTAACGAGATCTACAGGTGATTGTATGCATATCAAAGTTTGAGAAGCACTGGGCTAGAACATTTTTTAAAGTGGGTTTTTGCTCTTAAAGTGTGCTTTGAGGTCAAAATAAGCCCACTTAAAATATTTTTAGCTCATTATTCGCTCCATTCTCTCTACCTCTGAGCAACACTGTCACATGTCAGTGTCCTGCTCTGGGACTTTGAGTCTCTCATGAATCCCAGCAGCGTACAGAAGTTTGCTGCGCCATTTCTGTAGTCCTTATGGGTTACAAATTGGATTCCAAAACTTCCGTTCAGCTGTTCCTTGTACAACACCCCTAGGAGGTAAGTTGTATAATGATTTCCTTTCTTAGAGATGATGAAACCAGGGCCCAAGGAGATTTTGTGACTCACCCAAGGGGCACCAAGCAAATTGGCATATAAGTCAAAATGAGAACTCAAGCTTTTGAGGTTCTAGTGCAAGGCTCACCAAACTTTGATGTCTTTCTTTTTATATAAGGAGGATTTTTTTGCATAAGAGACTTTAAGAACAAATTAATAGATAACATTGTGTGAGTTACTGAATAGAAGCCATGCACACGTGGGCCCCTGGGATTATGGAAGTTTAAGAAAGAACTGTCCAGAAGAGAGAGTAGTCAGGCGAGGGGGACCCTGCCCAGCCCAGCTCCCACACTCCTGCCATAGCCCAGGTTGACAGGTTCTGCAACCAGGAGCCTCAGAAGCCTCCAAGGCTCTTGGGGGCTCAGAGTTCACACAAGGGCTCTGTGGGGAAAGGAGCCAGGATTCCCATGAGGCCATGGATATGACTACAGAGGAAATGTGGTGGCTTCTGGATGACAACCTTTCCCCAGTAGGCTGCTCGCTCCTACTTGTTTCTTTCATAGATTCAGAATAGCTGATGTAACTGGACTCTGCCCAAATACACGTGGTGTGCTTTACTTGATTGGATTTCCTAATTAATTCCAATTTCCCTGGCACAAATTGGAGCCACTTAATGACTCAGAAATGGTCAAGACTGTATATCTGGTATTGATACCCATAGGCTCTTCCTACTTTGCCCGAATTTAGGATTTCTCTGTCAACCTGAGCTAAACAAACCCACTTAAAGTATGTGGTTTGTTCAGTTTCAGCTGTCTATGTGGTGATTCTCTGAGGGTGTCCTCTAGATAATGATTGCCAGGGTGGCTGCTTAAATCCACCTCCCCCCACCCCCCCACCTCTGCCTAATCCTCTCCAGACATGCATATTCAATGGGACATATTCATGTAACTGATTACAAAACAAAAAGGTGGTGCACTTTAAAATTCCATGTAAAACGTATTGCTTGGCTAATGTGCTCCTGCCTATGCGCTTGCTACACAGTGCGACAAAGAATAGAGTCATGAGGAATTCAAGGCTGAAGATGTTTGGGATTTTTTTAGACAACACGGGTGCACCCTGCACCTTATACCCTGCTCTGCAGCCTGCGTAGTTTTGGGGCTTGACCTAAGGCAAAAACTACAAAGCGTTCTAATGAGCAGAATTATATAACAGGAATGTATGTGCATATTTGACATAGTTTCTTCTCTTGAATGGTGGCCCTCTGGCTGTGACCCATGCCCTCTCCAAGGGCTAAGGAGTCCAGAGAAGGAGTCTTTTGTTTCCAGCTGCCAGTTCTTCCTTAGCCCCTAGGGCCCCAGGGACCTGCCCTGCTCTGCGTGGGCCCGCAGAAGCCCTGCAATTTCCACATGGGCGGGTGATTTCAGAACGATGGACAGAGCTGTTCGGCCAGCCTACAGGGAAGAGAAAAAAAGAGAAACAGATTTTAACCTGTCTGCCTCCTGCCCTAGAGAAGGGTGAGTTGGAAGTAGGCATGGGGCATCAAAGTCTATTCCAAGCATCCAGAGACCCTAGGAGAGGGGGAGATTGGAATGGCATGAGGATCATGAAAAATGGGTCGCCTTCCATGGAAACAGCAGTCACTTCTGGGAAATCTGTGCGATGGACATAAGTGTCACATGGTTGGTTGGTTTTTCCCACATGGTTTTTAATACTTTTTTTTTTTAACTGGAAAACAGAGGAAAAAAATAACTCTTCCATTTTTCCATTACCCAGACCGTCATGAAAGTTAGCATTTTGGTGTATTTCCCTCTAGTCTTTTCTCTTGTGCAAATTTGTTGTTGGTTTTTAAAAAGAGGAGTGATAGTACATATCAGTTTTGAACCTGCTTTTATTTTTAACGTATCATGGCGTACTAGAAGATTTTTCCTTGTTCTTGCACAGTCATCATAACATATAATTTTTTCTTATTGGCTGTGTAATATTCCATAACTTACTGAACTCTTTCTCTTCTATTGGAGACTTAGGTTGTTTCCAGGTCTGCACCATCACAGATTTAGTGCAGAAAGCATTTCCCCCTTTCTAGTTATTTCCTAAGGACCAACTCTGAGAAGTGGGTCTACAGCATAGAAGGACATGCACATTTTTACACCTGATGCAGGATGCCACGGTGCTTTTTACATTGTGCGGGGAGCTGCCAGGCCCACTGTCTAAAGAAGAGGTATTCAGAGGGGCTCTCAGCCAACAACACAGGCCATTCTCTATAAAGAGTGAGGGGGAGGGGCGCCTGGGTGGCTCAGTCGTTAAGCATCTACCTTTGGCTCAGGTCATGATCTCAAGGTCCTGGGATTGAGCCCCACATTGGGCTCCCTGCTCGGAGGGGAGTCTGCTTCTCCCTCTCCCTCTGCTGTTCCCCCTGCTTATGTGCTCTCTCTCTCTCTCTCCGTCAAATAAATAAATAATAAAATCTTTAAAAAAAAGAGTGAGGGGGAAGGCTGACTCAACGCAGCAGACGCTGAGCTCTGTGATGGCAGCCGTGGTCTCTTCAGTCCCATTCTAGAATTCTGAAATCCCACAGCTTCAAAACTACTTCTTTGGTAACTCATTTGGAGGCAAAACCCGATGTGACCCTTCTGTAGCCCAGGGAGTGTGAATATTTTTATATTCTGCTTCATAACTATTCATGGATTTAATATGTTGGGGGGCACCCAAGACCCCATTGGATTGTTCTCTGCCCTATTGTATATGAGTGGAATTACTTCCTGAAATGTGAGAATCCACGGAAGCAGGTGGGGGGTGTTCACGCGCAGCTTAGAGCTCTTCAGTCTCACAAGGATGGAGTCCAGCTGCCCTCGGGGCTCCACACACTTGTCAATCACTATAATGCACGGCACAGAGCCAGACATACCAGAATAGAAACCGAGTGAGCTCAGGGGAGAGGATGGTGCTGTGTGTGTGTGTGTGTTGGGGTGCAGGGAGCAGAGGAAGGAAGTGGTGTTTCAGTAGGACCCCGAAGGATGTGCATGGGCTTCATCAAACATAAGAGTTTCTTTTCCTGAAAATGCCTCATGACTCTCTGTACCTTCCTTTCACCACCATTTTTAAGTTGGTATCTGTGGAGCTGTTTGATAAATTAAGGTCTCCATGAGGTCAGATGCAAGATCTGGCCTGTGGCTGCCAGCCCAGCAAGAACATCCCAGTACCTGGCCCAGTGCCTGCCCTTTGGTCGGCACCCAGTGAGCATTGACAGAGGGAACGCTGGATGATAACAAAGAGGTATTCATTTCAAGATGATGATGAACCTGAGCAAAGGCGCTGCTAAGGAGTACTCTCCTAGGTTGGAATCAAGCAAAGACCTTAAGCAGAGGAGTCTTCTAAAAGCAGCCTGCAGAGTTTCGATGGAAGAGAGAGGCTTGGGTTTTGGTAGGCCTGTCCCCCTGTACTCTGGTTTCCATTGCTGTGCTTTGTCAACCCTGAGGCTCTATGAGGTGGAGATGGTGTGATTACTATGATTATGGGAAAGAGCCATGGGCCAGTCCTAGGGGACACATACATCTTTGAACAGGGCCATTGGGAGGTGACAGCCTGCATCTGTGGGCTTCTCACCTGCAGACCTGGGGAGGGTGTATCCCTCAAATGCCCTTGCCAGAGTCCTGGGAACAAGGCGACAGTGCATGGTTCCAGTGGGAACCCCACCTGGCCAGTCCCGGCTGGGAACACTGAAGACTGAAGAGATGGGAGGGGCTCAGGCAGCCAGCACACCTGTGTGTGTGTGTGTGTGTGTGTGTGTGTGTGTGTAGTAGTCGGGCTGTCTTTCAATATGACAAGAACCTACAATGTATCAGGCAAAAAGGAGCAAGGCATAGTCTCTGCCTTAGGAAGCTTTCAGTTTGATGGGTACTTTGGAGGCATTGCCGAAATAAGCCCTTCAAAGTGTGAGCCTCAGAGCCCAGAGAGCTGTCCCCACCACTTCCTCTTCCTCATCTCTCGGGCAGCCCCCAAGAGGCTGGGTAACTGATTTCTCAAATTAACTTCCAAACCTGGAGAAAGTGCCTTACTGGCTGTTCTGGGGGTTCCACATTTATATCAACCTGTAAATATTGGTAGGATGAGATAAACCTAGTTCAGTACAGAATTCTCACTCAGTTTTCCAAGGAAATTATCAAGTCATCGAAACCTGCATCTAAGTCTCCATAGGGAAGGCGCACATTGAAACGACAGGGTGGCCATGGTAAGGGCTGGACCCTACCCTCAGGGTAAAGCTGGAGTAACAGGGCTTGGTGCTCAGTATGGCCTCCGTCGGCAGTTCCCTGGTCCCTCTGAAATGTCTCATGCAAGTTACCTTTGGGAAATTGGGGTGTGAATCCTGACTCAGCCCTCACCCAAGCAGGCAGCAGGTGAGTGGGCCATCAGTAGGGTCTAGAACCCTCTGTGGGCCTGCTGCTAGCACTTCCTGGGCACCCCGTACTCGCCGAGCATCCCCTAACCCTCTCACCTTCCACTACAATGGGCTTTGGCCACCATCTGGGTAGCTGTCCAGTTCCTCCCTCCCAGGATTCTGGCCCTGCCCTGGTCCTCAACCCTGGTCAGGCTCTTCCTGATCCAGCACTGATTGGGACAGTGGTCCAATCCTGCCTGGACTTCAGCACTCACTCATGCCAGAGTTCCACAGCTATTGATGTATTGGGCCAGATGATCTGTAGTTCTTTATCGTTAGGATGTTTAGCATCCCTCCTCCCCCAATACAGCAAATAAAATGTCTCCAGACATTGTTGAATCTCCCCCAGAGGGCGGAATCACCCCTCAGTGAGAGCCATTTCTCCCTTTGGTGGCTATTCTTGTCTGACTTGCTCCCTTAATTCCAGACCTTCATCCTCCTAGTCCCTCCAGACACTGCCTGCAAACGCCAAGGCCCCTACTCATTCTTGTGCTGGTTGCTTCTGATTAGCTGTCTCTGCTCACCTATTCATGACAATAACTGTTACCATCAACTGAGCATCTGCTCGATGTCAAATACATGTTTCACAAATACTACCATATTTAGGTACGGTCTACGACTCTCCCCATTTACAGGGGCTAAGAGTGGTTAGATGACCTGCCTGAAGTCACACAGTTACTAAACCCAGTTTCAAACTAATGAGTGTCTAAAGCCCATGCTTCTAGCAATCACTCGATTTGTCCAGCTTACAAGAGAGCCCTCACTGCGCTCTTCCTCCCCCTCCAGGAAGCAGTCACTGACCTCTCTCTCAACCTGTGACAGATCTGGACAGAGGCGTCCAGGAGACCGCCTGAGTATCCCAGCTGACCAGGGATGTGCCCCCTGTCCCACAGGCCTGCCCTTTCAGGCTTCCCTGGGGCAGTAGTCCCTCCTAGGAGGACCCTGGGCCTGTTCCAGAAGGGAGGGGCGGGGGGGCTGCCTCTTTCTGCCCCGGGACAATCCTGCAGCGAGTTCATGAACACAGATCCTTTGTCTGACTGTATAATGTTTGCAACAGGAGGCTCTTTTTTCCAGCAACCCACCACTGTTCCCACATGCATTTCCAGAGGGTCTGTGCTCTCTATCTCAGAAATGGCTTTGGGCGGAGTTGGGGTTCACAGGCACTGAAGACTGCTGGACCAGGGTGTGTGCTGCCCGGGTGTGATGTGAGGGACCCAGCAGCTTGAATCAGTGATGGAACAATCTCGGGTGGTTCAGATATGGCCCGGTGAGAGGGTCTCCCCTTGGGCGGGGTGGGGACTCTTCCCCCTCTCCGGGCCTTTTTCCCCTGCAAACTGTGGATGTTAAGAAAGTACAGGGAAGTTGTTTAAAGCATTACATTATAGTGCCACTGAAGTCAAACCTGGGCTTGCGTCCTTGCTCCGAGAACCAGCAGCTTGTGACCTGAGGACAGCTACATAAACTCTCTAGGTCTCTGTTTCCTTATCAGTAAAAATGGGGATGGAAGTGTCTACATCACTAGATTATCGAGAGGATTAGTGAGCTAATGCATGGAAAGGGTCTGGCTCCTGAGAGTACTCTGAGGAATTCGATGGAGCTAGCCTGCACCAGCTGTGTGATGGGGGTATGTTACATAACCATGAGGTGATTCTGTTTCCTTCTGAGCACACGGGTGGCATCCACAGAGACAACCTCATAAAGCTGTTGTGGGGTTTTAATGACGAGGTCCGCAGTGTGTGCTTCATGCAGTGCCCTGCGCTGAGCAAGCACTGGGTCCATGCTGGCCACCATCCTCAGTGTCATCACCGTCAACTGACAGAGACGCTTATTTAAGAAGCATGTGTCCAGGGGCACCTGGGTGGCTCAGTCGATTAAGCGTCTGCCTTTGGCTCAGGTCATGATCCCAGGGTCACGTGGTCCCTGGAATTCTGCTGGCTGGCCAGGCGCTTTTCAGGAAGGGAAGTGAAACACCTACTTGTTAATTGCCTGGAAGTCTCACCTTGTCAGTCAGGGTGCTGTCGCAGGCGGGGTGTGCCAGGAGCAGGCGCACCATGTCGGTGTTGCCATGGTGACAGGCCAGCATGAGGGCTGAGGATCCCTCGTGGTCCTGCAGGTTCACATCTGCCTGGCAGCTCAGCAGCGCCTGGACCATGTCCTCCCGGTCGTGGCTGACTCCCAGCATCAGCGCGGTCTGGCCCCCCTGCCACACAGAGCACAGGGGTGTGGTGAGGATCCCCTCTCCAGCCCGGGGACACTTGGGCAAGACTTTGCCAGAAAATGACTGTTGATCTGAATCTCCTGCTGCTGGGGTTGGACCCATCCTTCTCCACCCAGCAAACTTCTGCTTTTCCCAAACACTGATCAAATGCCACATCCTCTCTAAAGCCCTCTACGAACCCCTCCGGCACGGGATCGTAACATAGAACTTACCACTTGGTATTGCAACCTGTCAGTCTCTCTCGTGGACTGTGAAATTTCTGATGGCAGGGACTAAGTCTTTTTCATTTCATCTCTGTCCCCCCAGTGCCTGGCACTGAGTACATGCTGGTAAACGTGGAATGATGGAGTAAAGGAAGGGTTGAATGCTTCCCCACCATGGCTTCCTATGGCCTGCCCCAGCCTAACTTCCTCCAGGAAGCCTTCGTCTGCTCAGAACACCCCTGGTATTTTCAGTTCAGTGATACCCAGAACCCTCTCTGTCTTGATAAGATCTCTGCCTGCATGGTCCTGTGGTCATTTCTAATCCATAGTCACAGACAATTTTTTTTAAAGTTTTTTATTTATTTAAGTAATGTTGTCACCCCACTTGGGGCTCAAACTCACGAACCCAAGATCAAGAGTCTCATTCTCTTTGGACTGAGCCAACCAGGTGCCCCGCCATTGACCCTTTGTGACATCCCTGTAATCATTAGCGCACATGGCAATGGCTCAGAGTCAGAAAGTGAGCCCAAGCCCTGGATCTTCTGTTTCTTAGTGCGTGACCCTGGCCCCATCCCTCGTATTCCCTGAATCTTGGTTTTTTTTTCTTTTCTTAAAAATTAATATGATAGGGCGCCTGGGTGGCTCAGTTGGTTAAGCGACTGCCTTCGGCTCAGGTCATGATCCTGGGGTCCCGGGATCGAGTCCCGCATCGGGCTCCCTGCTCAGCAGGGAGTCTGCTTCTCCCTCTGACCCTCCCCCCATCTCATGTGCTCTCTCTCTCTCTCTCTCAAATAAATAAATAAAATCTTTAAAAAAAAAATTAATATGATAATGACCTGTCCCATGTACCTCACAGGGCTTTTGTGGGAATTAAGTGAAATAAAGGATGTAAATATAACAATGTGTGGTAGCGATTTTTCTTTTTTTTTTTTTGAAGATTTTATTTATTTATTTGACAGAGAGAGAAACACAGCGAGAGAGGGAACACAAGCAGGAGGAGTGGGAGAGGGAGAAGCAGGCTCCCCGCTGAGCAGGGAGTGCAGTGCGGGGCTTGATCCCAGGACCCTGGGATCATGACCTGAGCAGAAGACAGATGCTTAACGACTGAGCCACCCAGGCACACCAGTAGTGATTTTTCTGATTACAAATTGGGCATTATTTCTCATAGATTTTCCTTTATAACCATGGTCCTCTTACACAACTTGATTATATTTTGCCCTCATGGTCCTCCTGGGTTCCAGGGAGGTCAGGCTTGTCTCTCTCACTGGACATCAGCCTTTTTTAAAGTTGTGAGAATGAGGCAACCTTTCTGTTTTCTGTCCTTTCAGGTCCCCTGCAGTTCTGAGTGCTGTGTCTTACACGCAAGAAGTGCTGAGGACATGTTTGCTGATGTGTTTGTTCACTGATTAAGGGCCAATCTGCAGTCACTGATGAATTATGCTTCCCTGCCCAGAATGCTGGGGCTTAGAAAAAAGAAAGGGGGTTTGCAATAGGAAAATCCTGGCTGTGCTGCTTATTATCTGTGTGAATCTGGACAAATTAACCTCTCAATGACTTTTCCTGATCTGGTAAAATGGGAATGCTTAACAAAGTTACCTGCCTTATGGGGTTGTTGTGAGACCCGAGTGCTTAACAGGTGCTCTGCATATGTTAGCTATTATTGTTGTTAGGAGCATGGGAGGTAATGTATGACAAATGCTCAGTGTGTGGGAATGTATTCTTTGGTGTCCTGGTTCTCCATTTCTCTAGAACCCAGACAGATCTGTCCAGAGAAGACTGTTTGCCTTTTGGGTTGCTTATATTCAGCCCTGAAGTAATGGTTCTTCCTTCCTTCCTCCCTCCCTTCCGATTTTATTTATTCATTTGAGAGAGAGAGCATAAGCAGGGCAGAGGCAGAGGGAGAAGCAGACTCTCTGCTGAACTGGGAACCCGACGTGGGACTCAATCCCAGTACCCTGGGATCATGACCTGAGCTGAAGGCAGACGCCTAACTGACTGAGCCACCCAGTTGCCCCGTAATGGTTCTTTCTTCACTGGACTAACCAGACCATGAGATTTCCATTGAAAGCCAGATGACATATGTAGATCGTCTTCTTGTCTGCCCCCCTGCCTGACTTCTCCTGTCATCCTCACCTCCCTCTTTGTCCAATTCTATACAATTTAATTCACTGATACTTATAAACTGCTGCTATATGCCAGGCACTGTGCTGATCCTGGAGATACAAAAAGAAAGAAACAGCTTAGCCTAGGAGACTCCCAGTCTCCCAACTCACTCTTACTGACCTGATCCCTACTGCTCTCCTCTATGGAGAAGCCCTGGAGGGAGCTGGAAGGGAGCAGTAGCAGCTATGAATTCCCGCCCTCCTTTAACAACCTGGGATGAGCCCCTCACCCTCCTAAAGCATCACTTTCTCCTCTATAAAAAAACGGCCCAGTCCGTTAAGCATCCAACTCTTGATTTCTGCTCAGGTCATGATCTCAGGTTTGTGAGATCAAGCCCCACATCAGGCTCTGCACTGGGCGTGGAGCCTGCTTGAGAGTCCTTCCCTCTCCCTCTACTGCACCCCACCCCCCTCTAAAAAGGGGGGGCATTGATTTTTATTTTGGTGACCATCCCTTCTTGCGAGAGGACCAATTTAGAGGGGTGCCTGCGTGGCTCAGTCGGTTAAGGATCTGCCTTCAGCTCAAGTCATGATCCCAGGGTCCTGGGATCGAGCCCCGCATCGGGCTCCCTGCTCAGCGGGGAGCCTGCTTCTCCCTCTCCCTCTGCCTGCCGCTCACCCTGCTTGTGCTCTCTCTCTCTCTCTGTCAAATAAATAAATAAAATCTTAAAATTTAAAAAAATAGAGGACCAATTTAGAAGAAAAATTAACATGTTTTTGGGAAACATTTAAAATGAAAACAGCTTTATTAAATCCAATGGTGTAGGAGCTCTAGGTGAAAATACTTTGAAAAACAGAAAGTAATCTACAAGTGTCTGTTTCTTGCCACCAGTAGGATTGCTATTAGATGGAGTGTGCAAAGTGACTCTATCTGGGTAGGCTACCATCTGCAGTCACTTTGTCGGGGGGCGGACAGGGGAGTTAAATATATTGTTGGGAGGCACTTTTTTATGGGTCTTAGTTTTTTCCACATCTTGTGAGTGAGTGAGGCATTTTCTGCCTTGTTGTTCTAGATGGTCTTTTTATTTTGTATTTTTGGGGTTTTTAAAAATTTATTTAAATTCAATTAATTAACATACAGTGTATTATTAGTTTCAGAGGTAGAGGTCAGTGATTCATAAGTCTTTTATAACACCCAGTACTCATTACATCACATGACCTCCTTAATGCCCATCACCCAGTTACCCCATCCCCCCACCCCCTTCCCCTCCCCAACCCTCAGTTTCTTTCCTATGATTAGGAGTCTCTTACGGTTTGTCTCCCTCTCTGTTTTCGTCTTGTTTTAGTTTCCCTCCCTTCCTCAATGATCCTCTCTTTTATTTCTTAAATTCCACATATGAATGAAATCATGATAATTTAGACAGTCTTTTTAAAGATGCTGGTACAGTGAACAGCCTTGGAAGAGAGAGATAGTATCTTCTCCAAAACAGAGGGCAGACATACTCACTATCCAGTATAAAAGATTCAGGTTCCCTACGCTCAAGGTTCCTCTCCAGTAATATAACCCACTCTATGCAAAGGGATCTGGCCATCCTCACACTGCCCTATGGGAATTGGGAATTGGGGCTCAGAGAACTGGTATAAATACCAATGCTCTGACTACTCTTCTTGCTGTGAATAATACACTGTCCTTTGTCTCTGGCACAGGAGTTTCATGTCTTCTACCAGCATTCATGACACTGTAGCATGCCAACTTGTTAACATTAAGGTAGAGTACAATCTCACACCCTTCACAGTTCTTGATAGTTAGGCTACCTCTCTGATCACTCTGGGGAGGTGGGCGGGGAAGGAGAGTTGCATGCACCCTGTTGTTCTCATATTGGTCAAAGATGGGTATGTGGTCTTTTGAAGAGTTCCCCTTGTTCTCTATGGAGCCTTGTCTAATGCAAAGCCCTACTGGCTAAGGACCAGACCCCTACTCTGTGCTGTCAAGTAGAGGGGCCCGGAAGCTGAACAGAGACATGCCAACCCTCTGAACTGTTTTCTAATTCATGATTGAGGTGGGTCACCTGCAGGGGCTTCCTATGCAACCAACTAGCAAATGCTTTCAGCCTTTTCATGCCTTCTCCTGCTGGTGCTAACTGTGGGATCACTTCGTTCAAGAAGCCAGATCCAGATGGACTTTGCCCAGTTGTGGACCAGGACATAGATGACAAGCTCACTGACCTCCATCCTAGCCTGTCTGGATCTCAGAAGCTTTTGAGGAGACCAAATGTATAGGCTTTGGACAGATGCCATTTGGAGGGCCCAGCCTTCTTGGGTTAAAAACTCTACATGGATCTCTGTGGAATTTCTCACCCCACTGGCAGAATAAAACTGAGAGGTACCCATATTTATTAAAGAGGGGATCATGTTCACACCTCCTACCTGAGTAGCTTGGATGTTCACGTTTCCTTCTCTTAAGAGTTTCCAGACGACAGCCATGTCTTCGTCGGTCTCTGCAGAAGCCAAGGGAGTGATCATCACGGCAGTATAGCCAGCTCGGTTCGGATGGTCCACGTTGCAGACACCTGCAAGGGGAGCACTGGGCATTGGACTAGCTCACAAGGGAGAATAAGTGAATTTCTGCTTAGCCTGATCAACATCTGCCAACTGCCTGCTGGTTAAAAGGCCATGGTACAGAACAGTCTTTTCCCAGTGGTGGAGTCAGTGTTTACATTTGTAGCGGCCTTTAAAAATGACTAGTTTTCTTTACAAGTTTTCTGAGGCTACCCAGCAAGAAAGGTCCATGGTAGTAGGTCCAGAGATGGCCAAGGGGTACAATGATCATGATTATTTCCTAAAGCAGTGTTCTGGACACTGATGGTCATTGAAGCTTCATCAACTGCCCAAGTAAAGGTGAAATGAGACCAGGACGCAGGTCTGTCTGGCTCTAGAGCCCATCACTCACCCAGCCACACAGCACCCAGAGCTGTGCATTTTAGGTTTTACTCTATGTTGTGTGTAACTCTTAAGCTGACGGCTGAGTCTTCAGGTCTTTCCCAAAGGCCGAGTGATATGTTGGGCAGTGTACCAGGGGGCCTGAAAAATGCCACAGGATAAACATAGGAAGTCTTCCAGGAATAACCATTTCGTTTGAAAAATGGAGGGAGAAAAAAAGCCTCCATGCATGTTTATATTAATAATACATTTCACAGTAGAGTGAAAAATAGCATATTTTTAAGATGAAGTATTAGTTGAGAACTCAGAAGAAATGTCTGCTTTGTAACCCTGGGGATATGCATTCATATCCCTCTCCACCAAAGGCGACATAGGAGATCATCAGCCTGTTATCTCTTGTATAAACGATCCCACCCCATAAGGGCGGTACCATGAGGTAAACAAAATCTTCCCCATACTGTTGCTTATCTGAAAAACCTATGTATCTCTTTTGGACAATAAAAAACTATCTCAGTAGATCAAGTCATTTAGCCTTTCTTAGCGTTTCCTCTGTAAAATGGGGAGAATAATAGAACCTATGGGGTTACTGTGATAATAGAACCTGTGAGGTTACTGTAAAATTTAATGAGTTAATATATTGAAAGCACTTAGAACTGCACCTAGCACATAACAAACACTCAATAAGCATTAACTATTTCACTATTATTGTCCAGAATAGTATTCTTGTTTTTATAGCCTTGCTACTTGCTCATGAATACTTAGGTATTCATTGTAACAAATCTGTTTTTTTATGAAAAAATGTCTGGGCTACTTATGAGTTCTGTTCTTGGGTAAAAAACCAATATTGGTTTGACAGTTCCCCCACGCCATCTCAAACAATTTTTCAGAAATGTGCCATTGTGATGTCAGGATGCCATTGTATACAAAACAATCATTCTGACCACTGTCATGACCAGCTGGGCTATGAAAGCTAAATATAACCCTATGCACTGCCTCACAGCTCTGCCCTGAGAAAGATGGGAATATCTGCATTGCCTTGTTATTCTCATGACTATTTGATGTTTGCTTTTAAGAGGTGTAAACAGTCCTCAGGTTACAGTTCTCTTTAGTCTCTTCAGAAACATGACTTATAACTCAGTAGAGTAAGGACTGACTCCTCCCCAGGGGCTCAGAAAAGGGGCTGAGGACCCAGGACTTTCACAGCAGATGCTTCTGAGCAGCCACCAGGGAGTGAGCCAACCGTCCCTGGGGGCGAGGGGAAAGGCTCTTGACTGAGCATGCTCCAATTCCGCAAGCTTTCTCCTCTGTAGGAGGAGTTCTGGCAAACGCCAGTTCTGGCAAAATGAAGGTGCATCACCGAGGACTAAGGTGGCAGAGGTGCACCTGTTGGCTCTATACTCAATCATGAAGAGTCACTTCTGTGTAGCCCCTTATAGTCTGTAATGTGCTTTCTGGATGCCTCACAACTGCGTGCCTAGGTTTCAGAGTGCGACCAATATGGCCTCCTCAACAGGCCTTCTACAGTGAAGGAAAGTAATGGTACCTTCAGCCCATTCTCTAGCTCCCCTTTATACTTTATGCTTATGGCTATTTTAGCTGTATCAGTATGATAAACAGAAAGCTTCCAGATCACTTTAGGGTTGAGGAGAACCGAATGTATTCTCAGTCGACACCAGCAGAAATGTATAACAACCAAAGCTTAGGTTGTCTGTTCTCTGGCCTGGCCTGGCCCACCAGGAGGACTTCTAACCGGCTTCAAGTCCAAGCTGCTTCAAGATGAGGCTCTGCATGCCCAGAACACAGAGGTATGTTCCATTTAATTATGTGCCTTTCTCAACTGAGCTACCCCTTTTACGGTGTCCATGAATCCATGAAGAACTGAAATCTAGTACAATTGGCTCAATGTTAGAGTTGTGACTTTATCTTCCTCTGATGGTGTGGAAAGCAGAAAGAATTTTAGGCTGTCATTAGGTACATCACCTTTCCATTCAGGTAAAAAGCCCTCAGTACTGCTTAACAGAATTTTGGAGAACTGGAATGATGAGAAGGAGCCAGGACTGAGAAGGGCTTCAGGGAGAAGGATTCAGATAGAAAGAGAATGCAGCAGTCCTACGGAGGGAATGAACTTGGTGAGTTGGAGGCCATGTAACTGGAGTGGATGGAAGGAGGATGCATGGTGATGATTGAGGTAGCAAATGCAGGTGGGAACCAGGCCATCCGGGATTCCTGAAGGCCAGGCTGAGGAAGCTGCCTTTCATTCTTAGAGCAATGGAAAGCTGTGGGAGGCATTTAAGCAAGCGTGGGTAAGATCCAAGTTGGGGGAAAGCTGTTGGATCTGGAATTCAGACTTCCTGATGCTCATTTAAACTCCTCCTCCGGCCTCCTAAGTAAGGGTTACAGATCTAGCATGTGCTCCAATTCCTGGATGCCAGGAATGAGAAGAACAAACCAATGGTATCACCTTTAAACCCCAGCAACACACTGAGTCATTGCGTGCTCTCAGGATCACACAAAAGTCTGTTGATTTTTCTGAGCGTCACTTTCATCATCTACAAAACAGGGATAATCATCCCAATTAACAGGAGTTTTGAGGATTAAACAAGATCTCATATGCCAAGTGCTCAGCAGAGGGCCTAATCCATAGAGATCATTTGGGGTTTTATATCTCTTATTGGTTCCCTCCTAGATATCCCTCATACAACCTTCCTAAACTCACAGATGCCATTGGGCCTGGACACGCCTTCAGCCAGCCCCATCACCCATCTGTCCACACTGTCACTCCTAGGCTGCATGATGTTGTCCCACACAGCAACATGAGGATAATGACACCTCCATCACAAGGGTGTTGTGAAGAATAAATGCCATAATAAAGGCATGGTGGTCTAGTCCAGTTCTAGAATACAGCAGGAGCTCAGGACAGTGAAGAATCTCATGCTGGAAGGAAATGGGTACCAAAATGGCCCTTCAAGGAGGAACCCAGACTGAGCAGACGCAACCATTTCTGACCTGTCTCCAGCAGCAGCTTCACCACAGAGAAGTTGGAGTGGGACACGCTATAGTGAAGGGCCGTGTTCCCATTGCCATCAGCCAAGTTCACCAGCAGCTGCAGGAAGTGTGGGGAGTGGGGCCGGACCCCTCGGAGGTAGGCAGCCACCACAGCAGGGCTCGACGACTTCCGGCTGGAGACGCGGAACCACTCTTGACGGAGGGTGTTCAAGCTCTGCCTCTGAAATACCAACAGATTCCAAATCCAGGAGGTCACCTGGCCTGGGGAGCTCCAGCTGGGCTGTTAGCTTCCACTGGGAGAAGTCAGCTTTGGATGCGTCCACCTCTGTCCCTCAGCTCCCTCTAACTCCACGTGACCTACTCCTGGAGGGGTCAGAGCTGGGGCAGGGGGTGGGTTGGAACCTGTGCGAACAGCCCCCCACGTGAGGTAGAAAGAGGTCTGGGAGAGCAAACAATACCAGTGACAAAGCGTTTTTCCAGGTGACACTTTGAATCTACTGTGCGTTTTGATCACACCCCTGTATGTACAGCATAACCAAGGCCCTGTCTTTCACACACATATAGCCAGCCTGTATTGACCTTAGCCCGGACCCTAGCAGGACTTTTGTGCGTTCTTAATAGGCATAGCTAGCAAGTCACAACATTTTACTAATGGGGAAGACGCACGCTGAAGGCTAAGATAAACAACATACCCAAGTGGTGCTAGAAATAAAACCCAAACAGCTGTGCTTGAATTATTTTTGGCTTTTAAGCTTTGCTAGAACCTTCAGAAAAAATGGTTTAACAACCCTGGCCGGACCCCACTATCTGCAGTATGTAGCTCCTTTGGAACCATGAATGAGGAGAGTTCCAGAGCGAATGACATCAACTCTGTGTGTTACTCATGTGTTACATGTTTAAAATAGAACATGTTTAAGTTTATTTATCTGAAGCAGAGGAGAAAGCGTGGGGATGTGATTTCACACTCATTCTGGAAAGGAACTGGATTTGGAGTCACTAAACCCACGTGGCCAGGCTTAAGTCCCAGCTCAGCTGTGTGACCTTCGAAGTCATATAGTCTTTTTGAACCTTACCTGTCCCATCTACAAAATGGGGATGAAACAGGGCTGGGTCCCTAAGCTCCCATGGCTCTATAGAGTGAGGCCCTTGTACAACCTGCTTTGTCTCTAAGGTGGGGTGGGGGAAGGGGTACTTTGATCCTAATATGGGTGTGGTGTCAGGTTTGCACATCCTCTATTGCTTTTCTTTTCTTTTTAATTTTAATTTTATTTTTAAGTAAACTCTATGCCCAACTTGGGGCTTGAACTCACGACCTCGAGATCGAGTTGCATGCTCTACCAACTGAGCCAGCCAGACTTCCCTCCCCTATCACTTTTCTAGGCAGAAACAGTGGAATCTTTTGTGGCTGAAACACTTTATATATCAGAATATCTCCCTTTCCTGTGGAATCTTCAGGAGAATCTGGAGAAAGATCCTAATATTAAGGAACATAAAGCTTAATTCTGTAATTCATTTAAGATTAACAGGAGTTTCGATCAACATTCACATCACATACTGGTTGTTTTTGTTTTTGTTTTGCGAAATCAGCTAAGATAAAATAATCAAAATGGGTTGGGCTGAATTAATTGTTTTTTTTTTTTCCTTAGGCCCTCCTGCAAAGGAGAACAAAATGGGCTTTAAAAATGCTTATAGGCTCTTACACGTCGGGGCCTACCAGTTGGCTCTCCTGACTTGGGAATATGTGTCTGCGCCAGGATCTCTTGAATAAAAGTAAAACCTAATGGCTACATGTTTAATTCCTTGTGGGCCATGAAGGTGTTAAAGGAGCAAGCAGATGTATTTTTTTTGCTTTTGGTCTCTTGACCCAGAGGTTCGTGTCGAAAAACAGAGTAAAGGGACGCCTGGGTGGCTCAGTCGGCTAAGCGTCTGCCTTTGGCTCGGGTCATGATCCCAGGGTCCTGGGATCGAGTCTCGCATCGGGCTCCTTGCTCAGCGGGGAGCCTGCTTCTCCCTCTGCCTATCGCTCCCCCTGCTTGTGTTCTCTCTCTCTCTCTGGCAAATAAATGAATAAAATCTTAAAACAACAACAACAACAACAACACAGTAAAGACTACAGAATTAAATACCAGGGCTTGAGGGTAATGAAGACATGCTGCCCACCACCCACCTTCATTTTATTAATGAGGAAACAAGCTCTGAGCGGTGAAATGACTTGCTCAATATCTCACCAGCAGCTGTCCTGGGACTAGAACCCCTGGTTCCCATTCCATGTACTCTTCACTCTGCCCATAGTTCTCTCCAGTTGTGAGGTGATTTTGAGCCCAAGCCACACAAGGTTTGGTTTGGTTTTGAAGCCACATATGGTTTTATGCTGGACTTTCAGGTGCAATGCCTGATAACGCTCCATAGTGCCTCTGAGCGCCAGGCTGCTCCCTGATGCATATGCATCAGGTCCTGTCTCCCAGCATAATTATCATCACCCCAGCAGCAGAGTTTGGGCAAAGGAGGGCACCCAGAGGAAAGGGATTCCATGCACATCCACACCGCTGCCTCAGGCAAGGGACCAAAGTCACCCAGTTGGAACTAACAGCTTAAACAGTAGGGACATCCTTCCATGACAGTGAAAAATCACAGTACCAAGAGTTGGTTGGTGGTGGCCCCAGTTTCTGGCAGATGTTGGCTCAATGCCCGGCATGCATTGAGGAATTCTTCTGAGGGTTTATATCTAAAGAAAAAAATACATATATCTATATCAGTTTTCATATTAATATAAAAGAAAGTAATCCCCCAGCTTGACTTTCAATTCTCAGCAGCTGAAGCACCCACACTGGGCCACTTCCCAGGCAAGAGGCATTCCGCTGAATGCAGCCTCCTGACAATGAGGCTTGGCCTCTGAACTCTGCTGAAGAGTGAGTCAAGCACATTGCCCTTTTTATCCTGCTGTTTTCAGGAGGCGGGAGCAGATCACCAAAGCATTCTGGGGGCCATGGGACTAACTGCAATTCCTGACATGCTGGGAAAAGGGAAGGCTGTCTTCCTGACTTTGGATAAAACATTTCCTGCCTAAGTGACTTGAAAAATCCAGAGAACCCAATCCCTACCAGCAATTTTTTTCAGGTTATTCTTCCATGAAGAATACCATCAAGCTAATAGAGTCAATACAATGAAACTCAGTTAAGCTGGGGTGCTCTAGGTGCTGAGCACTCTTCCTGTGTTAGTGTAAGAGCAGACAGACCATCCCGGGGTGGGACTTGATGGCCCTGGTCACCAGGAAGCTCTGCCCTCAGCATGTCTCTACAGTGCTGCTATGTTGAGCAGCCCTGTGGACCTGCTTACCAGTGAGCCCCCATTCACTGCTCGCCACTCCCCCCCGGCTGAGGGGGGCAATGTTGGTAATGGGACTTACTATCCTTATTTCTACTACTTTTTCTTTTTCTTTTAAGTAGCCTCCACACCCAGCGTGGAGCCCAATGTGGCACTTAAACTCATGACCCTGAGATCAAGACCTGAGCTGAGGTCAAGAGTCAGACACTTAACTGACTGAGCCACCCAGGTGCCCCCCTACTATTTCTTGAGAGCCTGCTCTGTGGTAGGCACTGTGCTAGGCATTTCACATACTTTTTCTCATCCAGTCCCCAGATCAAACCTATCAGGTGGCTGTTACCCACATACTAAAGATGAGGAATCTGAGGCAAGTACAATTTAGGCGCCTGTGTAAAGGAACATGATGGCAGACATGGGATTTGAACCCACGTGTGTCCAGCCTCAAAGACAGGGCTGCTTTTCATCACGTGACATGACCTCACACCTCTTTAAAAGATGGGATTATGTCAACATGGCCAACAGGAAAAGACAATTATCATATGAGCTCACTGATACGAGGAGTTTGAGAAACAAGACAGAGGATCATAGGGGAAGGGACAGAACAATATGAAACCAGAGAGGGGGACAAACCATAAGAGACTCTTAATCTCAGGAAACAAACTGAGGGTTGCTGGAGTGGAGGGGGTTGGGAGGGATGGGGTGGCTGGGTGATGGACACTGGGGAGGGTACGTGCTATGGTGAGCGCTGTGAACTGTGTAAGACTGATGAATCACAGACCTGTACCCCTGAAACAAATAATACGTTATATGTTAATAAAAATAAAAAAAAATATTAAAAAAACATGGCCAACAGGATAGGCAGAAAAGCATGTGGGTGAGAATCAGACAAGACCTGGTCAGAAGTCCCACTCGGCTGTGTCCCTTAACTTCTCTAAGCCTCTTTTCCACATCTGTAAAGTGGGGATTATAATAATTTCTACTTTGCAGGATAATTAAAAGGATTGTAGTACATGTAAAGTCCTTCACATTTCCAGGCCTGGGACGATGTTAGCTTTACATGCAGAGCTCTGTGTGTGACGGTATATCCCACGAGGGCGGGAGTCACGTCTGTGGCTGGCATAGATCAGAAACTCCGGAAATACTGGTGAATGGATAGAAAGATGAATGAACAAATGAACAAATAGAATAGAATAAAAGGATGAAGTAGTGCCCTTGCTCTTTCCCAGAGATCAGGTGCCCCCATCTGTACCCATCTGACTCACCTCTCAGCCTTGGGATGGGGGACTTCTTCCCCAGGCCCACTTTCCTGGCCTGTGGTGCTGGCGCCCTCGGGGATGCTCAGCCCAGCCTTGCAGGCAGGGTGGGCCTCCTTGCCCCGCCTATGTTCTGGGCCATCACATTTCTTCTCTGCCTCACTGTCTGACACATCTTCCGGGGAGCTGTCCTCACCGCTGGTCTCCTCACTTGAGGTGGTCTCGTAGCTGGAGAAGGAGACAAAGGTCACTCGTTTTGTGTTTCCTGCCCAGTGTCCAGGTCAACACAAATAAGAACCAGGTGGGCTTCAGAGGGCTTCAGATAATAATCCCCAGCTTGCTAACCACATCCTCCATTCTCTGTATCTGCACGCCTGGGTGAGGGGATTCCCAGGAACCGTATGTCAGAGAAAGATGTGGTCAAGAGCTGTGGCCTGACACCGGACGCCACTTGGGGAGAAAAGATAATTAAGCTGTTTGCAGGGAACACACAAATAGCCCATGCCCTAATTGGCCTATGCATTCGGATGATCCAGATAAGCCGTCCAAGATTCTCACAGAAGCAGTTGCTTCTGGAGTCCTAACGTGTTGTCTAGAGAGGGGCCCAGATGTAGGCAAACACCCCCCACTCCCACCCTGAATTCTTGGAGTTGACGGACAGATCTTTACGTCTCTGGGTGATTGTGAAGCTTCCCTTTCTCCCCCCCTGTTCCAGCCAGGCTTACACCTGACATGGGAGGACCCATCTGTGTCTCTTCCCAGCAGTGTTCCATAGGAAACACGAACAGTCAGGGTGCCTGAACCCAGCATCTGCATGTCCTGGCTGCGGCCTATTCAGCTACTGCTTGCAACAGCAAAAGCAAGGGCATGGCCCCCTTGCCTCGTGGCCCACCCTCCCCAGCAGTGATCCTTAGGTTCAATTTTGTGCGACTCCATTGAGGTGGCAGACCACAGACGGTGGAGGGAAGTCCTGGCAGATTTATGGATCCTTCTGCTGATGGTCAACAGGAGACCCCCCGATAGAGGATCCTGCAGTTAAGATGAAGATTTCAGGCTCTGGGGCCATTGAACACTGCCACAGAGACCAGGGGAGACCAGTGGCCACAGCTTCCATTGAACCCCCTTAGGCCCTTTCTCTGGATGCTGGCCCCTATGTAAGGCCCCCATGCTCACTGGATTTGCAGAGCCAGGCTGCTCCTTGGCATGCTCACATTCTGTCTTGTTTAAACCACAGATATTTCGTCCTCTGTCGTGCTTGGAACAACCTTTTGCTTTTGTGACTAAGAGAAGGGGGGACATATTATGTTTACCAGGCAGTTCTTCTCTTACAGTTGCTTCCATAAAAACTTCACCTGGAAGCCCATTCATTCATTCAACAGAAATTTATCGAGCTCCGACTGTGTGCCATCCTCTGTTCTAAATGCTATACCAAAGTCCCTGTCCTAACTGAGCTTCTATTTCTAGTAGAGAAAAACAGAAAACAAACATGTAAACAAGATAATTAGATAGTGATAAGAACAATGAATAAAATAATAAAGGACCATGGACTAGAGTAATGGGAGGAGGCCCTACGTTAATTAGAGCAGAAGTTTTTCACCTTGGCTGCCCATTATAATCACTTGAGGGTGTATACATTCCCAGTATCTGCACAGCACCCCAGCCTAATGAAGCCAGAGTTTTTGGGGGTGGGGGGGAACTCAGGCATTGGTATGTTTAAAGCTCCCTCAGGGTTTCCAAGGTGTGGCCAAGGTTGAGAACCATTGCACTAAAGCGACAAATACTGAAGAATATCTGGGACGGGCACTTTAAGGGCGGTGGGGAGACAGAAGGAAGGACAGAGAGCAAATGCAAGGGCCCCACGATGGGCCCCACTTGGCACATTTTAGGGAAGACAGGCGGGAGTCGATGGTAGACAATGGGGTCAGCAATAGCTATGGATGGACTTCCAGGTTTGGGCACGGGGCGGGCACTGCCAGGGGCAGGGGAGAGATAGGACCTGCTTCTCCTGGGTTCACAGAGTCTGACGTCAGTGGGAATGGCAACAGCGACTCTCCTGTGACATCCCATGTCATTATTTCTGACATTTTCCTCACAGAGCCTGCAACAGTGACGTCACCCTTGTTTAAATCTGGTGTCTTCCTTCTGGTCTGACCCACACTAGCAGGGATTCCGACCTCCGGGGCCCACCACTGGCTGGGTCCGGTGCCCCTCCTTTGGGCCCACGCTCCCTTCTTTACTAGAATTCATCTCAGCAGATCGGTGTCTTATCTCTGCCCTGTCCAAACCATGAGCTAAAGGCAGGGACCAAGGATTTATTTGACTTTTTTTATCCCTGACACCTAACACATTTGTCGGCATTTAATAAATGTTTGTTGAATGATTTAGAAAATATTATAAATCCAGTGATTTACTCTCTAGAATATATGAGGTTTGGTTCATGTTCCGAGTCAATAGACCTTGGTTGTTTTTCTTCATCCTAAAAAATGCTGGTTTGGTTTGCAGGAAGTTAGTAAAAGGAAGAAAAAAAAAATTAAATGGATGAAATTTGAAGTTCAACAAATTAAGAGTTTGTCCTGCTTTCACTGTTATGGTTCAGATTAAATGTCTTCTGTAAAGGGCCCATGTGCTCCCCAAACTCCCAGAAGCCACCTGGAACCCTGTCCCCAGGGACACCAAAGCCGAGACATTAAAAGCCCAGGATCCAACAGACCACCACAGCTGGCAAGGAGCCAAACACATGCAAACCCAAGATGGAGTTTTCAAGGGCCGCTAATTCCCTTGAAGAAAAATGGAAACCAGATGCTTCCCCCTAGGAAAAGAGAGTGCTAAGGACAACAGCGGGATAGGTAGTGTGGAGGGGGGCAGTCTGGGCTTCATGAGCGATGCTTACCCACCGTTAACCCCAACAAACTGAAGGTTCTTTTTGGTCCCATTACCTCCTGCACGGAAGCCATAGTCTTTCTTTTTCATTATGGATTTAAGGCTGGTCGACGGGGAGATCTCTAGGTAGACACAACATCACAGGTTAGAATGATCTTGGGGATGTCCCAGAATGCAGCAAAACCGGGACTCTTGCTTTGAGGGGAGACAGGCTGAAGGCATGGGAGGAGGTAGAAAGGGACAGAGATCTAGATCATGTAAATCAGATATTGTGAAGGTCTTTGAGGAGGCCCGGCCTTCTAGTCAACACCAGCCCAACTGTCCCTGTTCACAAGCCCCTCTGTGTGTGGATGACAGAGTGGAGTTCCTGGAGCACTCTTCCAGAAGAGCTGTGTGTGCCATCACTGTCCCTGTCTTAGCCGACTTGCTCAGTGAACGGCCGGGCAGGCGCAGAACCCCATACACACGACTCCTGTTCCCGCGCCCACCTCGGCCCGAGGGCACCTCCGCGGTCTTTCCTGGCTTACGTGCCACTTGACACCTGGGAAGTGGGGTAGGCATGGCAGACGCGTGAGCAAGAGCACGTCTTTTTTGCTGTGCTCAAAGGTATCGGAGGCATTTTCCAATGGGCAAGACTGGAATTAGCACCGAAATAATGAAAAAAGCAGCCCATTCGTGATCTGCAGCAGGACGCAGGCTTGCACACTGCTCGTTGAGCAAAGCAAAATATGGTTCCACTTTACTCAACAGAAAGGAGCGTGTAACTTGTTACAAGAGAAGTGCTGCTCAGCCCAAGGGTCGACTTCCACATGTAGCATTCAGTCTCTCTCCTACACACACACACGCACACGCACATGCACACACAGAAAATATTCAGTGGAATATTTCAGATCTCAATACAGTGCTCCTTCAAAACCAGGCTAGAGCGAACCCCTAAATGCAAGAACCAGAGAGGACCACAGGAAGGCAAGAGCCCAGGAAACAATGAAGGGAGGCTGAGGATTAGAGCACGCACAGCCAGGGCCCGTCTTGCCCTAGACATTGCCTTCACGCTACGCAAGTGAGAAACGGGCGCCGCCCGGGTGGACACGGTGCTGCAGACTTGGCAAGTGAGTGGGGGCTGAATTTCAGCCCCCGTGTGCCTTCCTGGCTGGCATCTTTGTGCCCTGTGCTATCTGTGCCAGCTATATGTGGTGGCCCTGCAGTCAGTCCCAGCCTTAGAGCCAGGACAAGAGTAGGGGCACAGGGCCTCCACTGTTACATAGATCGGCGTTTCTTCCACTGGGTTCCTGGAGGTGCTTGAACCTTTTGAAAAATATACACGTGCAATTCAAACCCTTATTCCCTTTGACTCGTCAGGTAAAGGAGAAATGGCTCCCTGCCTTGGGCACCAGTATTTACCCGTGGGCGGGGAGGCAGAGGGGGCCGGGGGCTCCCTCTGGGGTGGAGCGTGGGCCGAGTAGGCGGACAGCAGCAGGTTGAGGGAGCTCAGCAGCTGGCTCTGGATGCTGCTGAGCTTGGAGGCGGGCTGCTTGATGGCGCTGGCCAGCTCCGGGTACCCGTGCTCCAGGCAGCTCCACTGCTCCTGCAGGAGTTCCTGGATCTTCTTAACGTATTGGCCGATAGTGGCATCTGTGGGCGAGCTTGGTGGCCTCCCCGGGTGCTCCTTCCCCGGCAGCTCTGAGCTGGTCTCCTCTCGCGCTGCTGCTGGGGGCGTCTTTCTGTCGCTGCTCCATGAAGAGTGCCCTGCTCCCCCGCCCAGACCCTCGGCTCCTACCTGAGGGCTTCCCTCCTGCTCAGGGCCTGCTTCTTCGATCCTCAGCTCAGTGGAGAGGCAGCTAGGTAAAGAGGGGGCGAGGACCACCTCAGGTCCTTGTGGCAGTGACAGCTGTGGGGGTGGCACGAATTCTGCTGGGCTCCGATCCCCCCGTTTGTGGCTGGCCTGCCCCCCTGAGAGGCCATTCTCCTGTCCTCTGGCCCTCCAGCTTTCAGATCCTGTGCTGCCCACAAGGTTGACCTCAATGCTCTTGTCACAGGACTCCCTGGGCAAGAGTCCATGCAGGGGGTCAGTGTTGACCATGGCGTCAGCGTGGCCCCGAATGTCTCTGGTGTTCTCGTGGCTAAGCTTTTCTGCCAGTCGAGCTACAGTGTGTTCTAGCTCTTGAATCCTCTGCCCTCTGGCCTTGATTTCCTCCTCCTGCTGCTGGAGGGCAGCTCTGACCTGGGCCAGTTCCTCGGTTCTTCCAGACAGCTCACCCTCGAGGGCAGAGAGCCGTTGCTTCAGGCTGGAGATGCTTTGGGGATCCACCGCGGGGAGGCCCAGGCTTTCCTCCGTGACCCGGATGCCAATGCTCCTCACATCTATTTCCACAGGTGGTGGGGGTGGGATCTCGCTGATGTTGAGCTCGATTTCTTCTAGGGGGAACTCATTCTCAGGAATGGGTGATGGCAGCGGTGGGGGGCTGGGTGTTGGGGAGCCAGGGGTGACCACCACCTCTGCTTCTCTGGTTTTGTGTTCGTCTTCTTCATCCTCCAGAACAACAAGTGCATCCTGGGATAAGACGGGAGGACTTGGGAGAGAGAGGGGATTTGGAGCCTCCTCTTCATCTTCGTCCTCAGGAGGCTCAGTGCCCTCCTGGACCAGCTCTGGAATCCCTGGCACCACGTCCCCAAACTCTCTGACTTTGGGTTGCGTTGTTGCGCGTGGGGTGGAGTTCTGAAAACCTGCAAATCCGTCTGCAGGGCCAAAGGCACCATCACAGACCCTGCCTTCACCCTGAAGTGGAGGGAGGGCCGGAGGTGTGGGGGGACCTGAGTTTAGGCTTGAGTCCTCTGAGGCCCTGTTTTGTAGCAGTGTGGCTGGCATGCTGGACGCTCTCAAGAGCTGGGGCCGTCCACTCCCGGGGGCTGGCTCGGCCTCCCTGGGCGCACCAGCCTCCAAATGTCTGGCTGTCTCTGCCAGTAGGGCCTTCCTGTGGTAGCTCACCTCACTCCCGCTGGCGGAGGCTTGCGGGTGTTCACCAGGGGGCAGCGACTGGGCTCGCTCCTCTGTCCCCAGCGACACCTTCTTCGGCACCACTGGGGACCAGTTTTGGTGGGGAAGAGCAGCATGGGGGCGAGCCCTGCTGTCGGGGAGGCTGAAGTTTCGAGGCAAGGTGCTGAACTTGGCCTGCTTGGCCCTTCTGTGGATAGGAATCCTTCTGATGGTGTTTCCCTTCTCAATGTCATCCACGTACTTGAGGAAGTCCAGGTCCAGATGAAAGCCATACGGGGTCTCCACAGAGTAGGGGTGGCTCTTTGGAGGGCCTTTCTCTTCATCCCCCTGAGAGGAGGACTGGTCTTTGGCTGGGAGACATGTAAAAAGGAAGCACAATGTTAATAAGAATTATGGGTGGTGAGGCCTAATATGTGTGATTTAGACTTAATGCTCTCACGTGAGACTTCTCCTAAATGTCCCTGTCTCTAAATTAAGCTGAGATGCTCACAGTCTTCCGGCCATGGTGAGAATCCAGTTTATTAAATCAGTGTGTACTTAGCAAAATGTCTGCAAGGAAATAGGTAGAGGAAATAGTTTCTAATTTGCAGTATTCATCTCAGTTATTGCTGTGGAATCTGCTGGCAGGCCAGCAAAATAAAATAGTCTCATACTGTTTTTCTGGGTTTGAGTCATGTAATGGCTGAACTCAAGTGGCCAGGAATCTGCCAGATCAGGGTACTAATTGGCAATTATGAATATTGAGTGTTTTGAAGGATAAGGTACACAATTGCCTCGACATTATGACAGAACCTCGCATTACTCAAACGGATACTAGGAAATCTTGCTGAAGCCAGAGGTATCAAGGAGTTATGCCTTCTACATTATGTAAGCGTCCTCATCTGGGTGAGCCTTGAGGCACATGAAGATCAGAGAGAACTGGCATTGTGTAATCATGCACAGCCCATGCTCTTTTGCACCTGAAAGCTGCTTAATGCTTAACAAACATGAACCTCACTTTCAAAAACTCATGTCAAGGGGCGCCTGGGTGGCTCAGTCGTTAAGTGTCTGTCTTCGGCTCAGGTCATGGTCCCAGGGTCCTGGGATTGAGCCCCATGTCGGGCTCCCTGCTCAGCGGGAAGCCTGCTTCGCCCTCTCCCACTCCCCCTGCTTGTGTTCCCTCTTTCACTATATCTCTCTCTATCAAATAAGTAAATACAAATATTTAAAAAACAAAAACTCATGTCAAGTGAGGAAATACCACATTCTTCACAGACTGGATAAAAGGTGGTAAGGGACAAGGGCCATGTCAAAGGGACATCAGCCTACGTCCTCCAAGAGAAGTGGGACTCATGACTTTTCAGGGCAGCCCAGACTGTCAGGGGACATTGTGGTGAGAAAGTTCTCCCTCACGCCAAGGCACCAGTGGTTTTCTTGACTCCGGCAGGGGATGCTGAGGACAAGTCAGTCCTTTGACTGAATCCATAAGGACTTGTCTCCAAGTAGCCTCTTCTTCAGGTTAAACAGTTTGTTCTCATGTAATCCCCCTTATTATCTCTGTGACATTCTGTTAAACATGCCCCCAAAATGCTTAGCTCAGGAGAGCACATGGTGGGCAGCACAGAGATCAAGAATGCAGAGTCAAAAGCCTGGTCTGTATTTCGGCTCTTGGGGAAATTACTTAGCCTCCCTATGTCTCATCATCTATACAGTGGGAATACTAACAGCAAGGTGAGATTCTTGTGAGAACTGATTAATTCATACATATAAAGTGCTTTGAACAATGATGAAAATCCATATATACTCAATATTGTAGTTATTGTCTTTGTGGAAACACAAAACAGAGAGAACTGAAGCCCCATAATGGAAGCTAATTTGCCTGGGCACACAGGAGGAGCACCACAAATTCTCTGTGACTGACTGACTGCTTGGTTCCGAGGGTAATGGGCCCTAGGGGCGAAATTACAAAATAGTAGTAATTCAATTTGCTCACTTCAACCACTGTTTTTTTGCAGACCTATGTGTTGGTTGCTAAGCTAGATCCTAAGGACCCAAACATAAATTAGGTACAGACCTGCCCTCAAAAAAATGTATGGTCAAGTAGGAGAAACACCAGTAGGTACAACATGGTGTGCCAAGGATGGTAACAGATATGCCCAAAAGACAGCCTTCCTGACTTATTTTCCCAGTTTCTTCAGGAGGTTAATTCTGCCTTGGGAGGAGAGGGATGACTTCACAAAAGTGACATAAGACTGGGCATAAAATGAACAAACAGGAACTTGCCAGAACAAGAGGGTGAAAGACATTGTAGCTGTTTATCTCCAAGATGGCCACCATCACTTCCCACCCTCTCTGTACAGTCAAGGGAATCCCACACTGAGAGGTGGAGTCTGTTTCTCCACCCCTTCGAATCTGAGCTGGACTGTGACTCCTTTGACCAAAATAATAGGGTAGAAACGATGCTGAGAGAATTCCAAGGCTAGGTCGTAAGAAGCCAGTAAGTTCCTCTCAGTGGAAGGTCAGATGCCGTGTACGAAGTCCAACTTCCCCGAGACCTGCCATACTGTGGGGAAGCCAAAGAGCCCCATAGAGAGGTGATGTGGGAAGAGGGAGAGAGCTGCCTCGCCAGCCCAAGCTGTTCCAGCCATCCTAGCCCAGGTGCCAGGCATTAACCTTCAGATGACTCTGGCCCCAGCCCTCATCTGATTTCAATGACAGACGAGTGAGAACCACTCAGCTAACCTGTGTTAGTAATACATTCTTATTTTCAGCCACTGAGTTTTGGGGTGTTTGTAGCGCAGCAATAAATAGCCAGGACAGATTCTAGACACATGTTGGAGAATGTGCAAAGGCACGGAGGTATGGAATGCCACAGTATTCTGGGGTTCTATAAGCGCGGGTGATGTATGGTAGAGAAGGGTGAACCAGGAGAAGGAGACATTTGGAAAGGTCAGCAAGAACCGGGTCATGAGCAGCTTGCATGCACACCAACAAGCCTTGACTCTACTCGTCAGGTAATCAACGGTGGTGTCACAAAGAGTGTCCTCGCAGAGGACTGGAAGAAGGGCAAACCAAAGGCCCTGAGACCAGATGGGAGCCGGCTGACATGCTCCAGGTAAGAGAAGCTAAAAGCAATGAAGGGAAAGGGACAAGTTAAAGAAAAGGCGCAAATGAAGGTGCTACCTGGGGGTAGTAGCTTCTTGGGGTTGCTTTTCCCCTAAAGGTGCTGGCACATTAGGCCTGATCTCTTCCCTCTTGCCCGACAGATCTCTCCTTTCGGTCAGTGCCACGTGCGGTCAGGTGGCCCTCTGTACTTAGACAAGTACAGTTATTTCCAAAGAACTAAACGAGGCCAACTAGACACATGCAGGCTGACACTGTGCACACTGACACAATCAAGCCTACCAGGCTCGATGCTCAGTAAGGCCACAGGGCCTGTGGGCAGTTACACCATGACCATGGCAGGGGACAACCCACGGGATGGTCTTCATTGGGTTCCACCGTTTCTGTGCCAGGGACCTGAACTTCAGGCAGGAAGGAGTGAATACTTCCCAAGCCCCCCCAAAACACCAAATAAGTTCCCATTCACCCACACAATTTTTTTTTTTTTTTTACCAACCTGCTTTCCCCCAAAGAAGCACACTGGTAATTTCAGTAACTGAGAGCTATTGCTCTCTGTTAGATTTCCAGACTATGCTCAGCTGTCCTCTTAGGCCTCCTGGTTGACTCAGCAGCCTCCTGGATTACAGAGACAGGCCAAATCAGAGAGGAGATATTTGTTTAAGGTTAAGCAGAGAGCAGATTTATGACCCGGAAGGCAGAGAAGTCTCCTAAAGGAAAGGCTGCATTATTTATCTGCTTATTGCCTCAATTCAATTGAGGCTGATTTACCCGGTGGCCTCTGGGATGAGGTCCAGAGCACAAATACAAGAATAGCATCAAATAAGAAAGAGCAGATTCAAAGGCAAAATCTTCCACAAGGGAAATTGAAGGAAACCAAAGGAGTGTGAGACTGAACAGCTATCCAAGATGATGGGTTACATAGGTGCTTTCCTAAGCTAGTACTATGGGGTATCACACACACACACACACACACACACACACACACACATCTGCTCCACCCGCCACCCACCACTGTGTTCCTTTTCTTCCTCCCAGTGTAAAACGAATGCTGGACCTTGAATGAGGGAGCTGATCTGATATGCCAGCAGACCTGTGCTCACATTTGGCTCTGTTCCTCTTAATTCTACCTGGTGACAGGTATGAAGGAGCTCAGAATTCCGGGCATTGGGCCAGGGCAAAAATTAATTAAGAGGACCATCTCTGCTCAAAATGAGCTTCTGATCAGATAAACGAACACATAGCTAAACTGGCTGGATTTGAATCTTGGCTCTGTCATTTCCTACTTCTGTGATTCTGGGCAAATTACTGAATTCCCCTATGCCTCAGTTTCTCCATTTGTAACATGGTGATAATAATACCTAACTTACAGAGTTGTTGTGGCTGTTAGCATGAATGCGATAGAGAGAATATGGCGCAGGTACTCAAGAAAGGCACGATGGGCTGGTTCTGAGTCGGGCAGGGGAGGATTTGCTGAGGGTGTGCTCGTTCTTTGGAATATTTAGCTCTGTGTTAGAATGACAGCCTCAAGAGTCCAAGAAGATAATTCTGGAGGAACTGGGAAAATGAGTCAGGGGAGAAGAAAAAAGTAAGATATATAGGCTCAGAGCTACCTAGGATTCCCTACAGAGTCTTGGTCTGAAAGCACGCCAGATAACTAGACCCTTGGAAATGACCCGCAAACACAGTCATGAGCCTAAGACTCACAGACGCAAGGAAAAGGGGATTTGAAGGGGCCCAGGGAAGGAAGGAGATGCCACAGTGATTATCTTGAGGAACACAGTGAAGTTCAGCAGGTGAGCTAATGAATCAGAGGTATTTAATGCGAGAAAGAAAAGTCCAAGAGACTACACTAGGTTTCTGAAGGAAATGGGTAAAACAGAAACTATAGAGAAAGTGGCCAAAAACACAGCGGGAAGGAAGGGGAATTTAATGAGCCTCTTCAGAAGGCCAAGACAGTGAGGGAAGCTTGTCCCTCTTCTGCCTTTATTTCGTGAGGCAGTTGTGCCTGAAGGGAGGGGGGCCCTTTCTTGAGCTAGCTGTGGGAATCACGTGGAGTAGCACAGCAGTGCTAAGGTTGCTGAGCAGGGACAAATGAGGCAGGCAGGAATGACAGGCCCCTGGGGCATGAAGAGAATTAGCTGGTGTTCTGTGGAACCACTTCCATGAAAAGGCAGCTCTCTGGGGAGAAAGGCAGACTCCTGAAATATACAGTGACTACATTTGGAAAGAAGGAAGACGCAGGGCTGGGGCTGCTGTCTGGTGCCTAAGTCCTGTGCTGGTGAAGGGTCATGTGATTCGGGGATTATAGGCACTCCTGTTTCCTGACATTTGGTGATCTGGAAAGAGCATTTCATTAGAAGTCAGCAGATTGGGGGGCTGCCTGGCTGGCTCAGTCGGTGAAGCATGCAACTCTTGATGTCAAGATCATGGGTTTGAGGGGCGCCTGGGTGGCTCAGTCGGTTAAGCGTCTGCCTTCAGCTCAGGTCATGATCCCGGGGTCCTGGGATCGAGCCCCGCATTGGGCTCCCTGCTCCGTGGGGATCCTGCTTCTCCCTCTGCCTCTGCTGCTCCCCCTGCTTGTGCTCTCTCTCTCTGTCAAATAAATAAATAAAATCTTTAAAAAAAAATGTAAGATTATGGGTTTGAGCCCCATGTTGGGTGTAGAGATTACTTAAAAATAAAATCTTGAAAAAAAGAAGAAGAAGAAGTCAGGAGATCAGGATCTAGTCTATGACCTTCAGCAAGTTTCCTGGGCAGGGGATGAGGGGAATATTCATGAAAACATTTGTTGCGCTAGATAGTATTACTCAACAACTTTGCATGTATTATCTCATTTAGTGTTTTACCAACCGTATGAATAGGTATTAATACCTGCTTATAAACGAGGTGTGGTAGACTGTTTGCAGAAACAGTCACAATCATACCCCATTCTTGGACCCTCCCCTCCCACACAGACCCTGAGGTTGGTCTTGTGACCTGCTTTGGGCAGTGGGTCAAAAGCAAGTGTGACATATGCAGAGACTTGACAATTGCTGGCACATTGGGGTTTGTCTGTTCTTGCTGTGCTTGGAACCCTTCTGCCAGCACGTGAATAGGCCCCAGCTAACCTGCTGGGTGGTGAGAAACACATGGCCAAATCATCACCTGTGCCCCAGGTGACATAGAGTCAACCAACAGGCATGTAAGTGTGGCCATTCTAAACCATCCAGCTAAGTGCCCCAGAAGACCACAAACACATGAAGACGCCCAGCAAATACCAGCCGTGCCAGCCCAGACCAGAAAAAAGGGCCCAGACAGAATCTTTTCAGAAATAGTAAATGTCTTTAAGTCAATAAGTTTTTTAGTGGTTTGTTCCACAGCAAAGCTGATACATGAGGAGACTGAGGCTCAGAGGAGTTAAATAACAGGAAGTCACCCAGATATACATGGAGGCTCTTTCACCATATTGTGCCTCTTTCTCAGACCTCAAGTTCTTCATCCTTAAAATGAGAGTAATGAGTGAGAGCATCCTGCTCCCTTCTTGGTGCTTGGAAGAAATGAGAAAACTGTCCAACAATTACAGAAGTCTTCATTCTCATCCTCTACCACTTTCTCTCGTTCACACCTGAAACACATAGTTTGGGTCTCCCAGTACTATCTGTGTGGGGAATGTCTCTTGTGAGCCTCCCTTAGGCTGTTTCTTGGATCTATGGTAGCAATCCCTTTCCAACCCAAGTGCTCACTTTAGACCAGGTTATACAGAGCAGCCTGCCTACCATCTGTCTTCTCCATCTTAGGGAATGCAGACTGTCAGTCTCTCAGGCACTCTTCATCCGATAAGTCTGTACAACCCACTGAAGAGTCCTGAAAGAAAGAAGGACAGAAGGACAGTTAGCATAAATATGGAGGCAAGAGCACCCCAAAGAACTCCCATCCCTGCCTTTCTCCCAGGGGTGCCCGGGAGCTCCACACTCCTCCTAGAGTGTGTCCGACCCTGGGCATGTCTTCCCAGGATGCTAGCGATGGTCGACACCAAAGGAAGTATTTGGCCCAGCCCCCTCACTTGGCAGACGAAGAAACTGAGGCTCAGAAGTTAATTGCTTTGTGTGGGGCCTCTCAGCATTCTAGTGAAGGGGGCAGAGCCAGGCCCAGAGCTCTGACAACTAGCAAGGTACTCCTTCCACAACATCAAAAGCTGTAATCTACTCCCTTCCATCATGGTAAAATAATTCTAATCCATTTTGGGGGAAAAAACTGGAACCAGAGTACCTATAAATGATCTGAGACTTCCCAATGAGATTCAAAACAGGCCTGAGATCATTGCAAGTACTGAGGAGGCACTATTCCTTAGAGGTGATGTCTAATCTTGGGCAGGGCAGGGCAAGTTCAAGCTGGGTGCTCCAAAGACATCAGGAACTATTCAGGCAGAAGACTGTCCAGACTCAATTAGGATACCTTGAGGTTTGATCATAAATTCTCCCCAAAGTTTTAATCCATTGCCAGGACTCTTTCTTCGAATGGTAAACAATGTGGCTCCTGCCCTCATTATAATAAATCACCCAGGAAATGGTCTTTTTATGATTCTAACTCCACACACATCATAACAGTGAATTATCTGACACCTCAGCAGTGGACACAGGGTTGTTTCGGGAATTCCAATGTGCTTGGCAATGAAGTCCGGACCAGAAAAGTGTACTGGGGATGAGGGAAGGGTTGGGGGAAACTGGGAGTAAGAGATGGATGAGGGGTGGCCTCCAACAACCCGGAATGGAATAAAGGGGAAGAAATAAGTAAACTGGGGAAGAGGGCTGGGAAATGTGTGGTCCACCAAACGAGAGGAAGTCTAAAATCTGCCCGGCAAAATTTCATGTATCCTCTCTCTGTGAGTGCTCCAAACCCATTCCATGAGCTGCCATAGGGGCCTTTACCTATTCAAGTGTGACAGAGCCCGGAAGGGCATGCCCGGTTTCTAGGGGCAGAGACACTCCTTGCAGAGGGAATGGCAACACAAAGTACCTCACCTACTCTGGGGGCAACAAGTACTTGAGTTTGAATGCCGCATAGAGCTGGAGTAGAGAGACGTTGGGGAGAAGGAGGGCAAGTGTGGCTGCTTAAGGAGGCAGCAAGTGGAGAGATCTGGAAGGTTCTGACCTGAGGCGAGGGAGGTTTGCCCTTGCTAGAAAGAAAAGGTTCTGAAACCACCTCGGTGTCCATCAGTGGATGAAAGGGTGAAGAAAGTGTGGTAAATATATACAATGAAATATTGTTCAGCCATGACAAAGAAGGAAATCATGGCCATTTGTGACAACATGCATGGATCTTGAGGGCGTTATGCTAAGTGAAATAAGTCAGACAGAGAAAGACAAATGCCATATGATCTTACTTGTTTGTAGAATCTAAAAACACCCGATTTCATAGATACAGAGAACAGACTGGTGGCTGTCAGAGGCAGAGTGTGACGGGGTGGATGAAATGGGTGATGGTGGTCAAAAAGTACAAACTTCCAGTCATAGGGATGTAATGTGCAGCATGACGACTATAGTTAATAATACTGTATTACATATTTAAAAGTTGTTAAGAGAGTGGATCTTAAAAGTCTTCATCATATATGTGATGTATATATATCAGTGATATATATATATATCAGTATACACATACACACACATATACACAATGGAATATCACTCAGCCATAAAAAAGAATGAGATCTTGCCATTTGCAATATGGATGGATCTAGAGGGTATTATGCTAAGTGAAATAAGTCAGTCAGAGAAAGGCAAATACCATATGATTTCACTCATGTGGAGTTTAAGAAACCAAACAAACAAAGAAGAAAAGAGATAGATGAAAAACAGACTCTTAACTATAGAGAACAAACAGATGGTTACCAGAGGGGAGATGGGTGGGGGGATGGGCAAAATAGATAAAGGGGGTTAAAAGCACACTTCCACGATGAGCACTCAGTAATGTTTAGAATTGTTAAATCACTATACGGTACACCTGAAACTGATATATAACACTGTGTTAGGCGGAAATTTAAAAAAAAAGTTCTCATCGTAAAAATAGTTTGTAACTATGTAACTATGGTGTTATGTAGTTCGTAACTATGGTGACAGATATTAACTCGACTTACTGTGGAAGCCATTTCACAATATATACAAATATCAAGTCATTATGTTGTACACCTAAAACCAATACAATATTATATGTCAATTATGTCTCAGTTATCTCAATTAAAAAATAAAGATAATTTTTTTTTAAAAAGAAAGAAAAACAAGAGAAGGTTTCCAGGCAGAGGACACTGCGGCTGATAATGCCACAGGTCGGCAGTCTGCAGGCGATGGGGGAGCCTCCCAGATGCTGGCGGGCAGGAGAGGCTTGGCAGCTTCAAGGTGAAGTCTGGGGAAGAGAAGGGTGAGGACACGAACTCTAAGCGTGGCCCCTCACCCGTCTCTCCATCATCATAGGTTTCTCCTCTCCCTTCTGTTCCCTTCTTCCTCCAACCCCATATCATTACTGAGCAACAGGCAGAGTTCAAAGCACTTAACATGCTCGAATTATCTCATGCAATCCTCACTGTAACCCCAAGGAGATTATTACTATTGTCCCCATTTTTTAGATAGGGAGACTGAGGCTGAGAGAGTTTCCAGGCCTGCCAAAGTCACATGACAAGCAGCTGTTGGAGCAGGATTTGCCCTCAAGTCTAGCCGACTCCAGTCATGTCCTGGGAAGTGATTTGTAAACATTTGCCTAGTCCCGATGCTACACTGATCCCTCCCTCTCTCGGCGGGGTGGGGGAAGGGAGGCGGGGGGGTTGGGGAGCAGGAAATGTTCCTGACTTTGATGCTCCTCTGCTTCTCCCACAAGTATGTGTAAAACACCTTCTGGGACAGATAAGGAGAACTACTCTCTTGTAGGACCTCTTGGCCAAAGGTGTGTGTGATCTGCTTCTCCAAGACTGGACACTAAGCAACAAGGCTTCTTCTAAGCAAGAGGGGGCCACCTGGGTGCAGATGGATCTTTGACACAAACTCACCTCACCTCAGAGAGTTCAGTCACACTCACTGCCTTTGGTTTGAGTTAGGATTCAGCCCTTAATGTATCAGATCCTAGGGCCTCAAATAATTATGCAGCACACATTAGGTCAAATTTCACTGAAAAGAACTCTGTGGAGGGGCACCTGGATGGTTCAGTCGGTTAAGTGTTCGACCCCTGGTTTCAGCTTGGGTCAGATCTCAGGGTTGTAGGATCTTTCCCTCTGCCCCTCCCCTCCCCCACTCTCAAATAAATAAATAAATCTTAAAAAAAAAGAACTCTATGGAGACTTCTAATAGTTCTCTTAGACTTGAATTTTACTAAAATCAATCATTGCAAGGTTACAGAAATTAAATGGAGCTGACACCCCAACTCTCTGAAGAAGAGGGCTTAGCAAGCTTCCACTGGAAAAGGTCTAGACACAGGCAGGAAAGGAGGGAACTGTCAGGCCCACATCCTGCCCCTGGCAGCCTCACCCACCCCAGCCTCCTTCTGCACTTGGGCCACAGGCATGGTCCTAGGGGTGGACATCTTAGAATTTAGCTAAGGGTATATGTTTGATGTGATTTGGTGAGTGGAATTGAAGAAAAATTGCCACATCAACACATGCTATTCTGCAATACAACGGAATATGAAAATTAACTTTGTTGGGCAGAAGTCCCCTTTCGAATGGAATTTTGCAACCTTCTAAAGCACTAAAAATTTTGACATAAAGCAATTTATTACTCAATGCTGTTAGGTTGTATCCTCGGTATTCAGAACCTTATACTACCTGGTGTTGTTATGTAACTTTTCATTTGTTGATGGCTTATCCCAGGATCAAGAATGCCCTGTTCGGTCCCAGCCTCTCTCATTAGCTCATCATATTCTAGATGTTTCAAGTATATACAGCTTTTTCTCTCTCTCTTTCTCTCGCTCCTCTCCCCTCCTACTCTGTAAGCTTGCGAAGGTCAGAATTCCTGCAGGACTCATCTCTTCCCCTTCACCCCCCACCACCATACCCCCACATCCTAACATGTGGCAGACACTCAGTTCATGGTAGCACCTCCGAATTACAAACACGACATCGAAGGCACAAAGAGGCTCTGTGGCCGATCCAAAGTTACCCAGTTACCTAGGGGTAGGACAGTTTGTGCAACTTCATCCCTCCACACCCCCTCTCCAAGCCAACCGGCAGTGAAGAGATGGGGACTGAGGCTGCCCGTTCAAAATCCACCAAAGGGGCAGTCACTCTGATAGCCCACGTGTGACTACCAGGCCACATTAGGAACAGTCCTGATTTCCCCCAGCCAGCCCGACTCCTGCAGTGTAGACCTACACCCTCTCCCTCTCCGCAGTTATTCCTTTTATGATGCCATTTACAATCTCATTCCTAACCTCAAATCCAAATACAAAGAAACCTTCCTTTACTTAGTCCTGAAACTGAAACCTAGTTCTGTACTTTTATTCTCTTCAAACCTCTCTTTATTCTGCAATAATAAAAACGCCGTATTTCATCCTAGAACAGGCTGCATGCCAAAATAAATAGCAGCTTGCATTTCCTTGAGAGGAAAGCTTGGCTCCAAGCACGGCCGTATTGCCACGATAATTCTTGGAGAATTCAACCTTACAAAGTCAAGTATTTAGCAAGGTAGTGCCCCAAACAGCAACCCCGTCAATCCCTGCACAATCACTTGCAAAGACAAAGCACTCTTTCCAAAAGACGACCAAAAAAAAAAAAAAAAAAAACCAATGTACCCGTACCTCTTACAGATCCTGCCAAAATGATGAGCGCTTCCTGCTTCCCCATTCCAGGGCCCCATGCCTCCCAGTGTAAATGGCCCCTGTGCCGGGGAGGCTTCCGACGGTGCCGCTTAACATCCCGAGGGGCTGAAGCCCAAACACCCGCGGAAGGGGAGCTGCACTCCTAAAAAAGATTCTGCCTACAGAGTTCTCCAGCCGGCTCACTTCCCGCCGACCCAGGAAACAAAGAGATAACTCCTTCTCAATAAATGGCACATTGACACAACCTCATGAACTCCGTTCTCATCTCGTTCGGCAAGTGTCTGTCACATTTGCCTGCAATGCAGCAGCTGAATTTGGAGTTTTCTGAGGAAGGGCAGACTGTCGGGAGGAAAGCTATCATCACCACATTACCTTGCCTTGGCATCCTCCCCCTGCCATCGCCTGGAGCGGCTCCCTGCTGAAAGTGAGGTGCTGGCTGCTGGACTAGAGCTGAGGGCTGGGGGGTAGGGGGCGGGGGGGGCGTGTCAGCTTAGCAGCACTGGCTTCCCAGCTGTTACAGGCTTTGGTCAGGTGATCCGTGACCTTGCTGGAAAAGCAAATACTGACTTCCTTTTCCCTCCCGGGAAGAGGGCAGTAGGGTCAAGCAGGAATTCAGTGCTCAATAAGCTGATCCCCGATCTTGCAGCAAGAGGAAGCAAGCTCAAGTCCTTCATTGGAAAGTTAGTGCCCAGAGCTCCTGCCACAGCTAACAACACCGAAACAGCACACACCTTCCTCCCCTGACTGCCCCAACTCTGGATGCTTCTCTGAGGGGTCATAATTAATTACGCTTTTCCTTCTCTCTCCCTGCAGCTCAGGCGGCTCATTAATAAAACTGTTCCTAAGGAGGACATGGGAAATTGTCCTTAGGAGTTGAAACCCTCCAGGGGTGCATCTCTTTCTTCCAGGCTCTGCTTTAGAAACTTCCTCCTCCACCGACCTCCTGGGGCCCCACAACCATGCAAAGCTTCGACCTCCTGGGGCCCCACAACCATGCAAAGCTTCCGCAAGCAATCCCAGGGCTGGCTGCCCTGGTCAGTAACTGGAAGTCTACTGGGGCAGAGCAGGAAGGTATAATGGCCAGTGAGATCCCAGACTAGACTGGCAGCTTCTGCTTCCTGCCACTCTACCAGTCTGATGCCCCTGGACCAAAATGCACCCTATTCTGGCTGCAAGAGAAAAGCCAGAAAATACCTACTATAAGGACCCAGCTCTGTGCAGGGTTTCTAACTGCAGCACAGACCAGTGAGTTCAGGGGGCAGGTGAAGGAGCCAGCGAGAAGGCAGCTGTGGAGGAGGACGGTCTCAGATGGTCTCAGGCAAGCGTTGTGAAGAGTCTCAGCCAGCCCACTGCAGCCACAGCTCTTTGGAGCAGAGGCAGGTGTGAGGCTTGCGCTCAGAGGCTCCAAGCTCTCCAAATCCAGCACCACAACTGGACCTGAAGGAGATACAGCAGGGTAGGTGTGGTCAAAGGAGCCAGGAGAACATCTGGGCTCCTGTATGCAGGCTTAGCAAAAAGATTATAGGGACCTCGTCCCCTTTACCTTCCGTGAGCCCTAGGCAAACGAGGCTATCCTGGGAAATGAAGCTCCATCAGTAAGACATGTCAGAGCAGCTCTGACCTTCACAGACACTGCCCAACCCATGCTGTGGTTGATGCCAGAGCTGAGTGTCACCCCGAAATGCTGCCTGCATCCAGCCCAGTGCACTTGGAAAGCACTTGACATTCTGCGTCCCACTTATCCTCGAAGCAACTTGAGGCAGCCAGATGGGGATGAGCATCCCCACTGAGCATCCCCATTGTACAGGTGCAGAAAATGAGACAGAGACTCTGAATGACTTCTCTTGGCTTACCCTAGAGTGACTCTGGATTAAAATGAATATTCTTGGATTAGAATTCTGTTTTTCCTACTACACTGGATCACACTCCTTATTTTCCTTAAAAGATTCTAGGGCATCTTGTTCAAGAAGGAGGTCAAGGGACTTCCCAAAGGGCACAGGTGGATGTGAGGGACAAGGCTATGGGACAGCAGCATACACTTTTCTCAACTGCTGCAAGTATTTTTCTGTGTTAACTGAGTACACAGGCCAAACCACCAGAATTAAAAAAAAAATCAGAAATATACCTTGAACTCTGAGGTTATGTGGAAAAATGGATACCAAGGAGCAGGCTGCCTCTCTGATAGATTAAAATGATCATTGACCATCCCCTCCAAACTGGCCAGAGAATGGCTAGAAGCATGTATTATTTCACCAGGACACTGGGAGTAAAAAAAAAGCTCTCCATTTCACCGGGTCCTATGACTTCAGACCTCTTTCTGGAGAGAAGGAGCCCTTTCGTCTCTCTGGGCTCCACCTGAGATGTTGGGATAGACACTGTGCTGACCACTCTATCTCTGAGAGGAGGAGAGAGTCTTCTTTTACACCTTTCTAATTTGCCCCCCACACTCATTTCGCTCCACAGTCAGGCAAGGAGGTGAGCAGAACCAGGAATGTTACCGTCCATTTTCCAGATGAAGAAACAAAGTTGGTTCCCCATATTACAAAGCTAACAAAAGGCAAAGCCTCAACTCAAACTCAGATTTTCTGTCTCGCGGTCCAATATACCCTTTCCTCACAGCCATGCAGCCTGAACTGGGCCTACAGATGAGTGCAGGAGACACACACATACCGGGACGCAAGCTTCAGGGTTGGTGCTGTCCACGCAGAAGGTGACTTCGCATCTAGGGAAGGTCTTCATGGAAAACCCCAACAGCTCTCTAGGGGGTTGTGCTTCTTGTGGGAGGACCCCCTTCCATGGCCTCTGGGCCTTGCCATGTGTCGGAAACAGGCATGTCCCCACCCCTAGGCCTCACTCGGACAGAGGTCTTAAGATAGTAGCCAATCTTATGTTACCACCAAGTCCCCCAGAGAATCCCCAGGACTACACACATTTATCCACAAGAACTTTTCTGGCAAGCATCACTTGGCCGAGGGGACACTGATTCCTTTTGCAGTTTAGAAATTTCCAACTTCTGGCCCAGGTCCCGTTTGCCCCACGATGGGAAAAGAGTGGACTCTCCAAGTCAGGCACGATGGACATTTAGGCAAGAGGGAAAAGGAGATGAAACTATCTTAAGAATGTGCCTTTTATCTAAGCAGTCCCTTAGGCTTTTGCACTTTGCTCTGGAAGGTCAGCTATTGCAGCTGATGTGATTACCCAGGGTCGAGGGGGAGCATGCTCATTAGGTACGCATGCCACTGAAACAGAGCCTCTCTGAGCAGACTGGTTCTGGCCACGGCCACTGTGACGGACCACAGCTCAAGTGGATGGAGAAAGAAATGCGTGTGTGAGACCTGGGGGTGTAGCAGTCCGAGGGGGAATCAGCTGTTCTGAAGACTGACCTTTCTAAAACGGGTGAAAATTTCTCAGGGAGGAAACAGGGCCAATTTCAGGAAGAGAGGAGGCTGCACTAACCAGTGAAATGTGTTTCCCACAGAAAATGGAAGGCATCAGGGCCCCAGGGAAAAAGACCCTCCCAGAACGCTCTCAGTCCTTGATGCAAACGCACTGTAAATCCACACACCAAGGGACAAATGAGGAAGGGGCCCGAGCAGGCAACTCAGAAAAGAAGAAATACTGATGGTCAATATTTGAAAGATTTCTAACCACAGGAATTAATCAAAAAGGACCTAGATAACATCCAAATGCGGTACTCTTTGTTGACCCTACACTGTGCCAGGCACCCTAGGTCCATTCCAAACACCATCCAATTTAATTCACACAGTAACCCTTTGGGGTGGTACAGTGATTCCCATTAGCTGAGGCTCAGCGCAGTTAGTTGCCCAGGTATCAACAAGATCCTCACCCAGATTCGAATTCAGTGTATGCACCGCGCTTAACCGTCGGACAACACAGACAAGTTCCGGGCGGGGAGGGGCGGGAAATGTCTTCAAAGAAAGACCCTCCGTGTGGATGAGGGTGTGATGAGAAGGGGACACGCCCTCCCGGGAAGATTGCAGCCGAATCGGGGCAGCGGCCCCCAACAGGGCTGCGGTGGAATCACACCTCACCGCATCTCCCGCCACGCTGCCCGCCTCTCTTCCCCCGCCCGGGCTTCGTTTGTGCCCGTGCTCAGGCAGCTGCCAAATCAAACACAACCAAATAAAACAGTGAAGTAAGAAGATGAAAAGGTCACAGAGACGTGTGATTTCTTTTCTTGGTCTAAAAAATCACTATCATGATATATTCTTGGAAAATAAAAGTATTAACTATTTGTGGGGGGAAAAAGGTGGGAAGTCACCATAATCCTACCACCTCATGTCCAACTACTTTGTATATCTTAACATAACCAAAGAGCAAGTTCTGTGGTGGTTAAGAGTCTGGGCTCCACGTCAAGAAGCCATGGCTGGAATCCCAGCTCTGCCACTTGCTGTGCAACCTTGAACAAATTGCTTAACCTCTCTGTGCCTCAGCCGCCTCACTTGTAAAGTAGGAAGAGTAATACACCCTACATGTCCTGGAGCATTAAATATGATGAGGTATGTCAAGCACTTAGAACCAAGGCTGCTATATAGGTTGTGTTCAACAAATAATACATATATTAGCTGTTAATATAATAATATAAATTCAGTTGTGAATTTGATTTTATATTTAAAATTCCATCCCGGGCGCCTGGGTGGCTCAGTTGGTTAAGCGACTGCCTTCGGCTCAGGTCATGATCCTGAAGTCCCAGGATCGAGTCCCGCATCGGGCTCCCTGCTCGGCGGGAAGCCTGCTTCTCCCTCTCCCACTCCCCCTGCTTGTGTTCCCTCTCTCGCTGTGTCTCTCTCTATCAAATAAATAAAATTTAAAAAAAATAAAATGAAATAAAATTCCATCACCTAACCATTTTTAAAAGATAGTTATACCTGCTCTATAATGATTACTGTAAATGGCTATGAAAGATACCCCTGACTTAGGCCTTATTCTCCAGACTCACTCCCTCCTGGAGGGCATTCCACCTCATCTTTCACTCTCCCTTGCTACCAGATCAGGCAGCCTGACACATGGGCCTCAGGGCAGGTCTTCAGGGAGACCCCAATTCCAGGTGGCTGGAACCCAGCGGCCACATATGATAAATAGTTAAGAGCACAGGCTTTGAGGTAAGGCAGACCAGGTTCAAATCCTGGCTCTGTGACCTCGAGCAAATTTCCTTATTCAGCTAAGTACATGGTTGTGAGGACCGCATGAAATGAGTGTGCAAAGTGTTTGTGCCAATGCTCTGTATAAAATAAATAGTCAGGG